TACACACTTATACACCAAGGACAATTTAACCTACCCAATTCCTCTGTACCACATCTTTAGACAGTGGAGGAAACCGGAGCACCCAGAGGAAACCCACACAAACGCAGGGAGAACATGCAAACTCCACACAGAAATGCCAACTGACCCAGCCGAGGCTCGAACCAGCAACCTTCTTGCTGTGAGGCGACAGCAATACCTACTACGCCACTATGTACAATGCCTCATGTCAATAGCTCTGTTGAGTGCATTTGTCTCAGCGTGCATGTGTAAGCCTGCAGCCAGACACTACTGGAGAGATTTGGTTCAATAATGAGACTCAAAATATATTATGATAGCAGTTCAATGTTATTTGTCACCTGAAATACATGAAGTTATATTAATATCAGCCTTACTCTTATTCCATCCATCTGTCTAGTGGGAAATGACAGATGTATGGTTGTTAAATTTTGTTTACTTGTAAACTCAATTAAAAATCAGTTTCAATTGAGTTTACAATTGAGTTTTTTTATGAGTATGCCAGTAAATAGCAGAGAAATTGGTGATTCATTCCACTGTGGCAACCTTGATAAACAAAGAACAAGCCAAATGAGAGTGAGTGAAGGATATTGATAAGGTATAATATCAATTTGTTGTCTAAACAACATATAAATGGAGATGAAAAAATTGGATAAAATGGCAGGAACTTTTCACTCACCAAACACTAGAGCAGAGATAACTGAAAAGTAGATTAGGAATGTTGGACACATTTATGCACATTATTTAACATATAGGACCTCTCATTATGCATACGGGGTGTAAATTATGTGTTTTAAACCTTGCTATCTGAAGTGTCAGCTAGAGTGACAATGTACATATACCATTTGATTTAAAATATGCACCATAAATAATGGGGTTTAAAAGTGGAGTGTCGTAATGTGAAACAGTGACAATGGGTACGATGCACAGCACAGAAATTCAAGCAGGCAGCAAGTGTTCTAAATCTTTAGGCACTCTTAGTTCATTAAATGACTAATTGCTCATGAGAGGTAGGTGCAAGTAATTTTTCCTCAGTTTATATATGTGAACAAAAAATATTGTGGCATAACGATAGTTTGTAATACGTTTTTTTTTTATTAGTGCACACTAATTCACTCTTACCCAACATTCAACCTTAAGTTTTTGTGACTGAATCTTATGTTTTAGAGAGTGATAACAACTAATTTCTGAGTGTGTAAATGTTGCCAAGACACATGTCCTTTTATTTAAGACCACTGTTGGTAACACAATATGATTTGCAGTATATTAAACTAGACTGCATAGGCATTGCTGTATTTATAAAAGTGCATAAGTAAAGAATAAAATGTTTGCTCATTAAAATCAATGAGGATTAGCTTTAATTTTCCCATGTCTAATTTATTGCATTAAGCTGCAAAAGGCTAATATGCAGTGCATATGGACATGCACACTGCTGCCAGTGTTGCATTTGCTGGCTCAGTGAACTGATCCATCTGTTGTACAATGTCTGTTATATTCATGCATGACTCAAATAAAGCTTATTTATGCCTTAAAGTACAAAGAGAGTCTGTATAAAAAGGAAAATAGAAAACAGTCTTACTGTATTATTTTTTGGTATGTGGCGTAGAATGTGTAACAACTGAGATGTAGATGGCTAAAAGCTAAGGGCTAAGATCTTGACAGAACAACAATGATTATTTCCATTTTCGTGGAAGGGCTTTTTGCTGTTGACAGGCAGCTGTTTGGGTAGCTGTGTGCTTCAGGCTGAATACCACGAGATGTAGCTTTACAGCTGAGAGCAGGAGAATGCCTTTTTCCATCTCAGTGAGTGTTTTTCTATTATTGTTGTTGGTTTATGTCTTACTGAAAGGATTAAGGCTGTTTTGAGGCAGCACCTGAGAACGCAGTGGAGCTGTCAGATGTTTACTGAACATTAATAGAACTTGACAGCTTAGCTTTGGCGTGAAATGATAAGCAAGATCATTAAAGGCGTAGATCACCCAAAAATTAACATTTACTCAGCATTAACTTGCCCTTAAGCCCTTGAGTTTTTTATTTTTGTTGAAAAAGAAGATATTTTGAAAAATGTTGGAGACCCGTAACCATACACTAGTAGGAAAAACAAATACTATGGAAGTCAGTGGGTACCCTTATTCAACATTTTTCAAAACTTGTGTTTGTGACAACAGAGAGTAAGTGGTGTCACCCAGGCAGCAAAGGATTCTGGCCCAGATTTGACATGAAGCTGGCACTTGCACACAGCATTTGGGCCAAACATGGCCCGAGTTTGGCAGAGGTAGCATCGCAAGTGGCACACAAGACATGGGCCACGTGTTAAATGCAGAATATTGCCCAGGTGTTAGAAATTGATATGTGGGCCACATACCTTTGGCCTATCGTGACCCATATTTAAAATACATTTAAATTATTTTTGTGTAAAGAAATTTAGGCGGTTCATTCCACTGTGGAGACCCCTGATAAATAAGTGACTAATCCGAAATATTTAAATATGCAAAGTCATTTCCATCTTCCTGTTTGCATCTTCTAATTCCTTAATTTTAACCCAGGAATCTATCAAGATTTATTTGTTTGAATTGTTAAACTATTGTTTCCTGTGTGCTCCAAAATAACTGAATTCAACCTACATGACATTTAATAGCAAAGCTTCATGGGTTTAACAATTTTGTTGCAGTTCTGAGACACCAGTTTGGCTTCCAGACGATGTCCAAACATGGGCCATGTCTGGCCCAGTTCAGGCACAGATATAATTGATTAACTTGGCTAAGACTTGGCCCTGACATGGTCCATGTTTTGCCTTTGTCTGAAAGCCAGACTTGGTCCAGTCATGTCCCGTAATTCACGGAGGCAAAAGCTGATTGTGTGGGCCAGAGAAATTTTGCTATGTAGGCAGCTAACAATGTATTACGGCTTTAACTCCATCTAATATCGTCTCACACATAAACTAAGCAAAAAGGCAACTGCGCTAGCAAATATGTTAAATATGCTTCTATTACTGATTTCCATCAATCAATTGTTTCTGATTGCAATCACTCACCCTTATTTGATATGCATCATTTGCATTTATGACAGACAACTCTGGCTGCACCAATACAGCTCCCCAGTTGGGGGCTCCACACAAATCAACCCATGTCAAGCAGCCTACATGCACTATTAGTATGCATGATCTGCTGATTGCTTTCTGTGCACTGTGTGGAGAATACTAACCACGGGGGGTGTTAAGCTAGGAATTTGTAGTTATTTTTGGGTGTACATTTTATTTTCAGTGCTCTACTGAAGTACCTACAATAATCAGAGTCATTTCAGGTCTTTATATAAACATTCCTGGTCTCTACTGCCATCTAGTGTAACATAAAAGCAAGAAGCAAACAGAACTTCATGTTGGAATTCTTGGGATTAAAGTGATAATTTTCCTCAAAATTAAAATGATCATTTATCATTAAGTCAATGGTTACAGGTTTTCAACATTCTACAAAATATCTTCTTTTGTGTTTAAATAAAAAAAGAAAAAAAAAAAACTCAAACTTTGAAACAAGTAGTGGATGAGTGACAGATTTTTTTTTACTTTGTCTTTATGCAACAGTACCAGATTTATGCACCTACCAGTATAAATATTAGTGTGTATTTTAAAAAAAAAATCAGTTTTATGCATAATTATTTTTATTAGGTTCTGCATGATGTCTTATTTCAATAATATTTAGATACAAAACAAAAATCAACCATTGCAATGCTTTTGAAACACACTACAGTAAAGTGTATTATACCCTGTGTACTGTACGATAGTATTACAACAATGTATTTATTTATGCTACATACAACCAGGGATGGGCAATAGTTTATTGAAATGTATTTTAAAATAAAATACCAAATATTTTTATTATTGTTAATTGATTTATTTATTTAGTTTTTCAATGGGTAGGTAGAAGCTGTTGAGGGAGGAAAATGCTTAATTAGGGTAGTGTTAACAACAACATGGAAAGGTAATTATGAGATGAATGTTGAAATTGATATTCCATGTGAAAAGCCTAATAAAAGAAATTTAAAATAAAATACTGTAGGAGGTTTTACTACTCTATACTGTAGTCTATTCTAGCATAATATAGTTGTGGAAAACGTACAGTATTTGTTTATATTACTATAACTGTTGTCTTACCACAGTAAGAGTTACCACAGCAGATTATTTCAGGTTCTTTTCTATAGTATGGTCAAAGTATAGTATTTACTATAATTTATAGTACTATAGTATTATTTTCAGGTAAAAACACATAGGAGGGAAGCTATTAAAACACATACACACATACACATACACATACACACACACGCACACACACACACACACACACACACACACACACACACACACACACACACACACACACACACACACGCACACACATTTCGGCATTTGTTTTTAATTACATATGAACAAAATGGAAATAATGCCACAAACTGTTTGATGCATTTTGTCAGCTTAGAGACACTATAACACACAAAAAACAAGCATGTTTGACCGGTTTGACCTGTGCAGTTCAGATCATCAGATTGATGAATTCCACCATGAACTGTAACTTAAGTTGTTACACAAATAAGATTATTTTACCTGTGCATCTCATCTGATCCAAACAAGAGCTGAAACATATAATTAATGTTTAATTGACTGTCACTGGTGGTTGAAGAAATGTGCCTTGCTGCGTTTTTAGCAGTGTTCACATTTTTTAGGTTATGAAAATTTAGTTACAAAAGAGATGTTGGATGGAGTAAACTTTGAATTTGTTTATACCAAATGCTACTGTATATTAGAAGAAGAAATCTGAAGTCTAACAAATAGACACAAGCAGACATCTAAACTTATAAGCAGGAGAAACTGAGTGCTGTTTGTTCTGTAAGTTAAGAAGTGAAACTACAGTAGGTGAACTTAAAAGTGAAAGAGATTTGAATTCTTACAACCAGTGTGACAGTATTTACAGGCGGTCACATGACAAGTGAAGAGTACTCCGAATGCTTGCAACAATTCACATATACAGATTTGTATGTGCTTCAGGCTCTCTGCACATTCTTCAGTTCAGACTGGAATCATTTGACAGAAAAGGTAAAGTAACAAAAGATATTTGATTATTCACACATTCTGTTTCTGTACAATGAAATAATGCTGTAAAGAAGTCTTCAAATGTAAGTCTTTTATTATAGCATGATGTCTAAAATTAGGTGTTCTTTTGAGAAAGAAAAAGTGCAGATGATTCATGAAACAAACATTCTGTCAAAAATGATCATAAAACCCAGTGGTCAGTCTATCTATATCCATGTTATAGTTTAACCAGCTCAAAGTCTTACTTTTTGGTTAAACCTACAGTTGTTTTATATGTCTGACTTTAAAAACATACAGTATGACCTAAAGGGTAAAAAATGATGATTAACTTGTAAGACTAGTCTAAGCAGTTTATGCAACCTGTGACAATGACAAACATTTCACCACACTGCACTTGACAAAACATAGTACAAATACAAAAGCAGAACTTACTGTAAATGGTAAATCAAATTCATTTGTACTTATTATATTATTCAAGCAAACAAAGCCAATCAGAAAATATTGAAATATTAAAGGGATAGTTCACACAAAAATAAAATTTACTTATAAATAAAAGCGTCATGTGGTTCCAAGTGTTTATGAGTCATTTGTTTTGTAAAACATAAAAGAAGATATTTTGAAGAATGCTGAAAACCTGCAACCATTGACTTTTATAGTAGGAAAGCCTAATATTATGGAAGTCAATGGTTACAGGTTTCCAGCTTTCTTCCAAATATCTTCTGGTTTGGAACAAGTAAATGATGAGTAAATGATGACATAATTTTCTCTTTTGGTTGAACTATAAGTATTTTTTATAATGGCTTGGTTTTGGCTGGTTAGATGCAACCTATTCATTTCTCTGACTGAATGTTTTTGTCTACACTTGCAGGATAAATAATGGCAACTACAAGCAACAGTAAGTCTTCAAAATCTTGCTGAATACTTCATTAGCACTAAAATATGTTACTACAGAAAATCAAATGTCCGTGTGTTTCTCTCTGCCTTCACAGAAGAGTTTCATCTTGCTGTCCCTGAAGCTCAGAGTATTGAGGTGAAACTGGGGTCATCTGTCAGTGTTCGGTGTCTCCTGTCTCCTGAAATCAGTGCTGTTGACCTGGAGATCAGATGGTTTAAGGAGACAGAGTGTGTGTGTCTCTATAAGAACAGAGAAGTGACTGAAGGAAGGAGTTATGAGGGCAGAACAGGTCTGCCCACTGAAGAGCTGAAGAGAGGAAACGTGTCCCTAAACCTGAGAGATTTCAGAGAATCAGACATGGGTGTTTACCTGTGTCAGGTCATTAGCGAAGACAGAACTGAAGAGAAAACTGTAGAGGTGGAAAGAGGTGAAGATTACTTATTCTACATAAGCTCAGTGTCTTCAGTAATCACCTCTAAGAAGGAAATGTAGATCAGTCAAAAACACATGCTTAAGCTTTAAATTGTGTTTTATTTCCTCAGCCAAGAAAGATTCTGATGCCCAACCTGTAAATCAAACATCAAAGATTCAAGGTACACAAGTCCATCTGACACTGCAAGAGGTAAGACATAATATAATATAATATAATATAATATAATATAATATAATATAACATAACATAACATAACATAACATAACATAACATAACATAACATAATATAATATAATATAATATAATATAATATAATATAATATAATATAATATAATATAATATATAATCCGCTGTGTAAAACGTGCTGGATAGGTTGGCGGTTCTTGTCGCTGTATAGCAACCCCGGATTAATAAAGGGATTAAGTCGAGAAAAAAAAAAGAATGATAATATAATATAATATAATATAATATAATATAATATAATATAATATAATATAATATAATATAATATTTATTCATTCATTTATTTTCTTTTTGGCTTAGTCAAATAAATTGCCAACTTATCCAGCACATGTTTTATGCAGCTGATGCCCTTCCAGCCGCAACCCATCCCTGGGAAACATCTATACGCACCTATACACTACGGACAATTTAGCCTACCCAATTCACCCATACCACATGGACTGTGGGGGAAACCGGAGCACCCGGAGAAAACCCACACAAACACGGGAGAACATGCAAACTCCACACAGAAATGCCAACTGACCCACCCGGGGCTCGAACCAGCTACCTTCTTGCTGTGAGGCGACAGCACTACCTACTGCACCACCGTGTCACCCCTATGATATAATATAATATAATATAATATAATATAATATAATATAATATAATATAATATAATATAATAACTTTAATGATTGAAATAACTTTTGAGAAAATAAAATATCTATAAAAAGGGATGTAAACTGTCAAAATTCTCCAAAAAGGAAAGAAAAATATAATATTGTTTTCATAAATATTACTTATTATAAATATATTTCAAGTGCTGTTTAATCGAGAGAAAAAAGGTTTAATGTATTTTAAACAGAATTGTTTTAATAACTAATTCCTAATAGCTAAATTTTTTGCCTTTGCCGTGACAGAACATTATATTTGAATAGTTATTTAGCAAGATACTACTATTCTTAAAGTGTACTTTAAAGGCTTATCTACGGTAGTTAACTAGTCAAGTGATGGTAATTAGGAAGGTCAATGGACAAATGTAGTTTATTCTGTAGCCAACTGATAAAAGATGAAGAGTGCTAATAATATAAAATATTAAACACTGATTTCATTCCAACTAAACTAAAGGAAATAAGTATTTTTCCAGAATAAAAAATATATATAATATCAAATGCTGTTCTCAGTGTAAAAAAAATCTTGCTCTCTGTATTGAAATATTTTTAATAGTTACATTTTCACAGAATAAGGCAAAAGATTTTGGCTGTAACATTTAGTTTGTTACACTGAATGATCTCTAAGTGGGTGTAAAGCATGGTAAAAATGTTTGGCATTTATTTAATTTCTTCCCATAAAACTATATGATTAAACAGGAATAAAATGTTTTTTAGTCTACTTTTACAGGTCTCGTGACATTAAAATAAAATTTTTAGATGTTAGCTTCAGTCGGTTAGTTTTAAGGATATCTATTAGCTAGTGTGCTCCAAAACAGTGACAAAAATCACATTTAGAAAATATATAATTGATATAAAAATTCAAAGTTTGCAGCTTGTCACAATGGATCAACATTTTTTCTCGTCATCTCATTCTTCAGTTTTCCATCCAACTTGACCAATCAAATGCTCTCTAGCTCTGACATGCCCTGCCCCCTTAAAGACCTTCTCATTTGCTTTTCATTTGATGCACTTGATCTCAACCACTCTCACTGAGAAAAACACTATTGCCTGTATTTTTAATGGAAGGTCTTTTTAAGGGGAGGATTTTTATTTTTCAGTTGAGATTAAGTCAAACATTGAATAAATTATGCACATTTCAAAGCACTTTACGAGACCATTCATTGATTCCTGTCTGGTTTTGATTTAAACATTTATGCACAAGGATGTTGATTTCCATGAGTTCATTGATGCTCTTGTATTGTCCATAATGGATTTTTTATTGTGTACTGTGCATCCAGTTTTTAGATTAACTTTATAATGTAGTGACATAATGGGCTCGTTTTCTTCATTACCGTAGTCAAACAGAACATATGGAGAGACTCAGAGAATGAAAATGGAGGAATCTGCTTTCAAGAGTTCACACTTAGCTGATGATTTACAAAGCTTATTTGGCATGCTGTCCCGGGAGAGAGCCCCGAGCTCAAGGGCTCCTCGAGCCCGGGGCTTCCTCCCGTTGGCAGAGCAAGAAGGGAGCCTGAGCTCGGTGGATCTCAGAACTCCCCTGCCGCTGTAGCTAAGGGAACGTAAGGAATTAGACCAGCTTGATTGTTAAGTATGTTGAATGTCTTTGGATGGTGGGAGGAAACCGGAGAGCCCGGGGAAAACCCACGCGGACACGGGAAGGACATACAAACTCCCCACAGAAACACTCACCGGTCCTATCGAACTAGGACCGGCAGTATTCTTGCTGTGTGGTTCACAGTGCTAACCACTGGACCGCCGTGCCGCCCAATTACAGGTAAAGGAGGAGAATAGGGGAGGAGGGGGGTTTCTTCCAAACGAAGATAAAGTGAACTGGAAACTTAGACTATTTATGGTGCCTTAGGGCTCGTATGATTGGAAGATTAGTGATTAGCAAATGCGAGACTGGACGTGATAAATCATAAGCACGTGATCCTCTCGAAATTAGTTTATGAATAAACTTCACTTCAAGAGTTCACACTTAGCTGATGATTTACAAAGCTTATTTGGCATGCTGTCCCGGGAGAGAGCCCCGAGCTCAAGGGCTCCTCGAGCCCGGGGCTTCCTCCCGTTGGCAGAGCAAGAAGGGAGCCTGAGCTCGGTGGATCTCAGAACTCCCCAAAATGCAGAATTAATCGCTCGGGACAGCAGCCGCGTATTCGAAGAAAAAACCCCCCAAAAGGCAGGAAATTTAGAGCTATATCCGGCTGCTGGATATAGTAGAAGAAAAGAGGTTAAATGCATGGGCATTAATTAGATAGGATTAATAAGGGTGAAAAGAGGATTCTAATAACTCTTGCTGGAGTTAGAGTTTGAAGGAACCCCTGCGGGGGTCATGGTTTTCGGGGTTAAGAAGAAGGGGAGAATAGGTGGTTTGAAGCAGTGAAAGAGAACTTTGAGAGAATCTTGTAGGAGTTGGAGCTCTAAGTGACCCCTGCGGGGGCCAGAGTAGAGTGAAGGTATGGAGCAGAGAGTGGAGGAGAGTAGCTCTTACGAAAGATGGAGCTTTGTGAGAGTTTGAGTTTAGAGCGGCCTCTGCGGAGGTTAGAGCTTGAGGGTAGGGTGTAGATAGTAGTGACCTCTGCGGAGGTTAGAGCTTGAGGGTAGGGAGTAGATAGGAGCGACCTCTGCGGAGGTTTGAGCTTGAAGGTAGGGTGTAGATAGGAGCGACCTCTGCGGAGGTTTGAGCTTGAAGGTAGGGTGTAGATAGGAGCGACCTCTGCGGAGGTTTGAGCTTGAAGGTAGGGTATAGATAGGAGCGACCTCTGCGGAGGTTTGAGCTTGAAGGTAGGGTGTAGATAGGAGCGACCTCTGCGGAGGTTTGAGCTTGAAGGTAGGGTATAGATAGGAGTGACCTCTGCGGAGGTTTGAGCTTGAAGATAGGAGCGACCTCTGCGGAGGTTTGAGCTTGAAGGTAGGGTGTAGATAGGAGCGACCTCTGCGGAGGTTTGAGTTTGAAGGTAGGGTATAGATAGGAGTGACCTCTGCGGAGGTTTGAGCTTGAGGATAGGGTGTAGATAGGAGTGACCTCTGCGGAGGTTAGAGCTTGAGGGTAGGGAGTAGATAGGAGCGACCTCTGCGGAGGTTTGAGCTTGAAAGTAGGGTGTAGATAGGAGTGACCTCTGCGGAGGTTTGAGCTTGAGGATAGGGTGTAGATAGGAGTGACCTCTGCGGAGGTTAGAGCTTGAGGGTAGGGAGTAGATAGGAGCGACCTCTGCGGAGGTTTGAGCTTGAGGGTAGGGTGTAGATAGGAGCGACCTCTGCGGAGGTTTGAGCTTGAAGGTAGGGTGTAGATAGGAGTGACCTCTGCGGAGGTTTGAGCTTGAGGGTAGGGTGCAGATAGGAGTGACCTCTGCGGAGGTTTGAGCTTGAGGGTAGAGTGTAGCTGGGAGGAGCAGTGAGTGGAAGAGAGTAACTCTTGCGAGAGTTGGAGCTTGAAGCGACCTCTGTGGAGGTCAGAGCTTGGGGGTAGAGTGTAGATAGGGGGAGATAGGTAGCAGTGAGTGGAAGAGAGTAACTCTTGTGAGAGTTGGAGCTCTGAGCGACCTTTGTGGAGGTCAGAGCTTGAGGGTAGATTGCGGATAGGAGGAGATAGATATCAGTGAGTGGGAAAGAGGATTTGGATAACTCTTGCGAGAGATTGGGGCTCGGAGCGATCCCTGTGGGGGTCAGAGCTAGAGGGTGAGTCATAAGGAGAAGAGAGGTAGTTGAAGTAGAGTGAAGAAGTTTTAGCTTGAACGGACCCCTGCGGGGTTTGGAGCTTGGAGAAAGAGTCTAGGCGGAAAAAGAATAGGTAACATCGTGAAGAAGAAAGGACTGTGGCCGCTATGGCCGAATCCTGCGAGAGTTGGAGCTCAAGGGGGCCCCTTCGGGTGTCTGAAGAGTCTAGACAGGAGAAACAAGATCATTAGAGGTAGAGTGTAAAATAGATTAGTTAGGAGTGGAGTGTAGAGAAGAAAGGAACGAGAGGCTGAAAAGTAGGGTTATAAGGATAAAAGATTTGGAAAAGTTGGAAGAAGGGAACAAGCACAAATATAATACATATGTACAAACGCAGTAAATGCGCAAAGAACATGTGGATACAAACGTCTGCATCTGTAAATAGCTATTGGTGATTGCAGAAGATGCTAACTGCAATGGCCCTTGAGGGAGTCCTTGGCAAGCATGTAAGGGTGCCATGGGTGGACAATTGGGCTTCTGCGGGGTTTGGTTTGGATGACTCTTGCGAGAGTCGAGGCTCTGTTAGACACCTTTTTGAGTTGGAGCCGTGCGAGGAGGTGCTTGGGGGTTGGTTAAAGCCTGTTGGGCTTTCTTGAGGTGGTATTTACTGAGACGTATATAAGATTTGAAAACTTCAGAAGACCAGCGACCAAGGGTCTGGATCTGATGGTGTGAGAGCCCGTTGTAGTGGCTGCGCCAATCCTGAATGAGTGGCTGGAAAAGGGCTCTGGGAAAAAACCTGATAGGCGAAAGATTTCTTTAAGGTGTTTTTGAAACCAGAATCGAGATACTGGACGGTTAGCGTCATCAGTAAAAAGCGGGGCCAGTGGGTTAGCCTCTTGAGATTTTCTAGGCTAAGAGGGTTTGGAATGGGCGTGTAGGTGAAGGAATATTGAAAATGAGGATAGAGTGTCCTCTCTGGAATTAATCTGTTTTGCTTTGTTTGATAAGGAAAGAGATAGTTTCCCTGTCTTGCAAAGCTAGATCTGAGATGGTGGGGTGGAGTAGAGGGTTAAATTTGGATGTAACTGTTAATTCAGAACGTTTAAGAAACCCCCCCCAAAAAAATGCTAGATTGAACATAGCATCTAAGGTGCGGGCTGTATGGGAGGAAATGTAACCTTTACAGAGGGTGTAGATGCATGAGGTAAGGATTTTGAGTGTAATGGGTTGTCTAGCATGGTATGGAATTGTTTGAACGAATTCCATGCTGTGAGGTATGCATTGAGGGTTCTGGGAGCTATTGCTTGTAGGATAAGAGATAGAGAAGTTTGATGAAGATTATGAAATGGGTGGTTTATGGAAATATCGTTACTGAATAAGGAGGGACCGGCGTTGGGTGAGGGTCTGCTTCCGGGGCTAGTTGCCAGAATATCTGCAAAGAGAAATGAGAGAGAGAGTCAGCGATTTGGTTTTTGCAACCAGGTACATGTTCAGCAATCATGATAAATTGTTTTTTAGCAGATATCCAGATAAGGTGTCTTAAAAATGGCATAAGCGATTGGGAGTGGGAGCGCCCTTTGTTAATGCAATGCACTGTAGCTTCGTTATCGTAGTGAAAGAGAATGCTAGATGTAGACCATTCGTCCCCCCACAGGATGGCTGCTGCGATGATAGGGTAGAATTTGAAGAGGGCTGAAAAACATTGGTCTTTGGAATGGAATTACAATTGGGTTGGCCATGTTGAGACAAACCAGTGTCCTTTATATTAGCCACTGTAACCTATTGGAGGGGCAGCGTCTGTGTATGTGTTGATGTCAATAGGGGATGCAATCAAGTCGCTGTAGAAAAAGGAACAGCCGTTCCATTGCTTAAGGAAAGAGATCCATAAGCAAAGTTCATCGCGACTGGGTTTGGAGAGAAAAATTGTTTCTTCTAAACCATGAACTGTGGTGGATAATTGAAGGAGGTGGGAAATGAAAGGAATAATGCGCATAGCGAAATTTAGATGGCCGAGAATTGGTAGGAGTTCTCGTTGTGTGCACATTTGTTTTTCGAGGAAAATTTGGGATAGAGAAATTATTCGATTGATTTTCTCTTTAGGAAGGGATGCTTGGAATTTATGCGAGTCTAGATTAATACCCAGAAATTCGATTGAAGTACTGGGTCCTTCCGAGATCAGCGAAAACCTGCTGGGTGATCGCTAGGTGTTTGGCTGGAGGAGATGACGGGGGGGAAATAAGAAAATCGTCTAGAAGGTGAATGAGGTATGGGATTTCGTAAATATTAGACAGAATCCAGCATAAAGCTTCTGACATCATGTCAAATATTTTTGGGCTGCTTTTGCATCCGAAAAATAGAATTGATTTCGCCAATAAATGCCAAAAGGTGCCAGAAGTCTGGGTGGATTGGCATGATTTTAAAGGTAGGGGAAATGTCTTCTTTGGCTAGCCAGGTGTTACGACTGGCTATCTTTATGAGAGAGATCTCTTGATCAACGTCGTGGTAGTTAAGTAAATATTCGTCCAATGGGATAGTGCTGTTAATGCTAGGAAAGGAGCAATTGTGTTGGGACGAAAGGTCGACTACAAGGCGTTTTTGCCAGAACATTTTTGAGTAGCGACACCAATGGGGCTAATGCGCGAGATATTAAAAGGAGGAGCCTTGGAGTTCCAATCATGAAGTTGTTGTCGATTTCTTTTTAATAAGATAATCGACGGTTTCAGGTTCGGAGGTTGCAGACTGCAGGTTAGGACAGATTGGATAAAGTGAAAAATGGAATGTATCCTTTGTGAAGAGGATGTGGAGTGTAATAGGTTGGATGAGGGTCAGCTTCTGGAGCCAGCAGTCATGATCTCTAAAATAGAAAAAACAAAGAGAATCAGAAATTAAATCTTTGCAAAATAATACAAGTATGGCAGACATGAAAACTGTTTTAGTTTATATCCATGCGAGGCATCTTAATAAGGGCATGGGCGGCTGTAAATGGAAGCTTTTTTGATAATGCATGGTCCGATGACTTCATTGATACGATGTGCAAGGATGGTAGGGGTGGGTGTTCGTCTCCTAACGGGATGACAGATGAATGGAGAGCTGAGGACATGGGATATGGCTAGTCTGGTGGTCCTGGAAAACTGGTACCCCTTGAAGACTGAGCATGTGAAGTGATAGTGAAGTTTAAATTTGTATTTATAACAGTCAAGTGGGAAGTTTGTTTCTTTGCCGTTTTCACATCCGACTGACTTGCTATATAATCTTATATGACGCTTGTAAATCAACACATGAGTCGCTGGCGTATTACAATTGGACTTCTGTGCTTGATGGCATAATGTTTTTCAATAGCTTGTATTTACTGGTTGGGTAATAATCTTTTTAGAAGTTAAATGTCAAATGGAATTTTTTTTTTTTTTTTTTTTTTTTAACTAAATTTACAAGCGTGTCTGGCCTATTCATTCATAAGGTCTTTGCAACAGAGTCAAGAGAGAGGGCGGGACCATCTCCAGTCTTTTAGCTCATTGGATGGAGACGCTTATCTTTACAGCTATTGGCTTAAGAAGTTTCAGTCAGGCCATGCAAAAGGTGCAAAAGCCTGGCGGCCATTTTGTTGATCAAATTCAACATTGTTTGTGGCTGGAGCTGCTGCTCTGCTGAACACATTCCAGCAAACAATCTGTTAAACGATGGATAGCTTGTGTACTGCTAGGAGAAGGTGAGGGTTCCGTTTTATTGCAATAGCTTTGGAGTTTTGGCTTATATCTTGCTGGGAAATAAGGTTGAAGACACAGCAGATGCGTTGTGGAGGCTCTTTGAAGTGGAAGGTTTTGGTGTTGTTGTTTAAGCTGTTGATGAAATTGTTGGAGTTGTAGTTGTTTGAAATGGTAGCAATAGTAGTTGTTGTTGTTGTTGCTGTAGCTTGTATATTGTAGCTTGTAGATTGAAGCTTTTAGATTGTATATTGTAGATTGTAGCTTGAAGCTTTTGTAGCTTGTAGCACTTGTAGCTTTGTAGTTGATGAGCAGAGCAGAGCGTTCTTCCAAATGAAGATCCTGAAGATTGTAGCTTGTTGCTGCTTTAGTTGTCCATGCTGGTTTAGAGTTGGTTCCTCAACGGAGCTAGCTACGGTGAAGCTGCTTCTTCCAAACGAAGATAAAGTGAACTGGAAACTTAGACTATTTATGGTGCCTTAGGGCTCGTATGATTGGAAGATTAGTGATTAGCAAATGCGAGACTGGACGTGATAAATCATAAGCACGTGATCCTCTCGAAATTAGTTTATGAATAAACTTCACTTAATTACAGGTAAGTGCTTTGAAGTGTCGTTGTCAAATTAAATTTAGACTCATGTACATCATCACTGTGCTTTTACTTTTTCAGAACTTCAAGTGAATTATGCGAAGCTACTCCACCAAACGATGTTTAAGGTGTTCGAAAACCAGGGGAAAAAACTGGAACAAACTGAACTACAGTTAAAAACAACCAAGAAGGATTTGGAAAGAGTCTCACAACAGCTGGAAACCATCACAGAAAAGTTTGGTCTACAAAATAAAAAAGACGTTGATATGAAAGAGTCACAAATAGAAAAACACCTGCAACAAATAACTAAGTTTGTTGAAGAGAAACAGATTCAGCTTAAAGAGAAAGACACACAACTGGAAAATGTGAGCAAACAGATGAGTGAGAAAGAAAAACTACTGGAGGACACAATCAAAGAGATGAAAACCAGCAAACAACAGCTAGAGGTACTGACACAGGAGCAAAGCAATCTTAAGGAAAAGCTGGAAAAGAATGAACAGTTGAGAATTTCAGGTAAGCAAACTGATCATATAATCCAGTCTTTTACACAAGCATATATTATTATGGGTGTTTATTAAGATCTGAATAAACTGAGTGATGTCACATGTTGTATTGTGTTTGCGCTTCTCTCAGAATTGAGTGAAAAATCCAAATGTCTTGAAGAAACAAAATCTCTTCTAGAAGAGAGAGATGCAAAAATTAAAGATCTGGAGAAAGAAAAAGAGAGACTTGATGGAGAACTTCAAGACAAGGACAAACGTCTCAATGAAATCAATGTTAAACTGATACAAACTGTGAGAGATGTTGAAAAGAAACAGAATCAGCTTCAGGGAAGACACGTGCAACTGGAGAATATGCACAAAATGTTGAATGAGAAAACGAACAAAGGGAGAGAGCAAGGAAAGTAAAAGTATTTGAGCAATTTCAGCGTTATGGATGTGACATTTGCAGTATAAACTCAAAACATAAATTCACAGAGAAAGTATACAATAACATTATATTGAAACAACTGTTTATATTTTCTAAAAAAAAAAAAAAAACTAACCACAGAGTAATGGTATCAGAAAAATAGCAATCTGCAAAAAAATTATATTTTGAATTAGAAAAATAAACATGCATTATGGATATGACAAAAAAGTCTGCGATTGTACGTAATACAATATACTGTGTAAATTCACAAGAAATTCTGTGAATTAAACTGCATGACCCAAAATAAACAATGCTAATCAAAAGCACAAGAGTTGCTCACTATAGAACTAAAATTATTGAATTAATTGTATTTGATATTTTTGCATTTATGAAGGAAAGCTTGGTTATGGATGTGACAGATGTGAAATTGCCACTTGTGTGACTTTGGTAAATTAAAATGTAATAGTTTGAAACACTGACAGATACATTTTTATTATGAGTATTTATTATTTTATATTATGAGTATTTTTACAATAGTGTAAAATGCTTGTTTACACAAAAAACGTAGAAACGGTTTCTCTATTTTGGTGAAAACTTATTGTTTTCATGGCATGGTTGATATTTGCATGGATTTGCTCATACATCTGAAAAAAATAACAGCTGATGTGTTATCTTTAAAGAGTAAATCATTAAAGCAATACATTACTGGGGTATTTCATGCACATGCATATTTAGATTTAAATATCTTCAAAATATATGCCATAAAATTAATTAAAACAAACAAACAAAAAATGCCTCAGTTCTATTTAATTTGAACATGTCCCATAATAGGGCCAGACAGAATCTGTGGACATTTTTTGCTATTTCGTATATTAGGTTTTTAGTTAAGACACATCTAAAATCAGTCTGCATAAACCACTGATTTTTTCCAAAATCCTGCAGATTTATGCAGACTGGTTTTAGAAGTGTCTTAACTAAAAACCTAATATACGAAATAATAAATAATAAGTTGTAACTTTAATGTTTACTATTCAAACCTTATTAGATCCACTTATTTGAAAGCAAGTCTCTGGTGTAATATATCAACTAAAAGACAGAAAATATGACTTTACAAACTGTATTATAAATAAATCATATGAACATTTTGATATGTCAATAATATTACTGAAATTAATTTAAAAAAACTGAATGATTATAAATTTACATAGTACACACATTTACAATAGTAAATAAATAGACTCAATGATGGGGTAAGAATCTGTGAAAGATTTCTGCACATGCTGATTTTGTGTACGCCATCCCATAACATAACAGATATTGATTGTTTGTATTCACTGCGGTTTACTAGTGCATGAATTAAGTAACTTGTTTTAATGAAAGACCTGAAGATGAGTTTACCCATCTGGTGGAAAGTTATAATTTAGTTACTCAGTTTTCTTTATTTTAATTACTATTATACAATTCAAATTATACCTACATTTAAGTTGTGTGTTGCAATGATATTCTATCAGGTGCCTTCTAAAATCTCGATTAATGCATAATGGAAAAATTAAAGTGTATTTTTAATCTAGTCAGATGACTTTCTTGTGTTTGAATTGTTTTTTGTGAATGTTGAGTTGTCTTGGTGTGTAAATGTAATGTGGTGTTTGTATGTTAGCCAGTGAGACAAGCAGAAATTGCCTTTAGCTAAATTACTTTACAGTAAGTATACAGACCATTTTGAGGGATGAAAACAAAAACAATGGTCCCAACATATTTCCTGTTTTATATTTTTAATTTCTATATCTTCCAAGATTCCAAAAAGAGCCACATATTGATAAACAATGTTAAGATAGCTGTTTTAACATTAAGTTATGATTGAATTTGCTCTTGATACATAGTTTGATAACTTGCAGAAAATGTTCATGGGCCAATGACATGACCACAAATAGTCTATAGCAAAGTATAACTGAATGTGAGAAACTAATGAAACGCTTATATAATATAATATAATATAATATAATATAATATAATATAATATAATATAATATAATATAATATAATATAATATAATATAATAAATCCCAACATTGTTCTTCCAACAGAATTGTTCTTCGTGTTTAAACTGTTTATGTCCGGTTTAAGGTTTATGGAGGGCGACCAAGGTGATTGTTTATTTAGCAAATAAATTTCTGATGACAAATAAGGTGCAACATTATAAAGTTTTTAGGTAACAAGTTTAATGTCTCACTTTATATTAAGTATCTCTGTCTCTCTCTCTCTCTCTCTCTCTCTCTTTCTCAAAAAAAATCTATTCAAACAGCTGTATTGGCATGACAAATGTAAGGTGTTTATTGTTTCAAATGTTTACATCACAGAGAAATTATAAAAACAATGTATTAGCAAAAATAACAATAAGAGTATTGTTTCTCGGTCTCTCTCGCGAATACTCGGTCTCTCTCGCTTACCACTCGGTCTCTCTCGCGTGCATTCAGTCTCTCTGCGTTCGCTTGACTTTTGTCCACTCTGGCGCCTCATACATATCTTTCTAGGGGCGGGGATGGAGGATTCAGCCGCTGTGAGAGGTGCAATGAGTGACTGCAGCTGAGGAAGTGAAAGTGAAAGAATCATACCTTCTCCATAGACTGTTCGAGAAGGATCAGATCAGACTGACACCTTGTTCAAATTACAGCTAATAGACTGCACATCTAAAGAAAATTGGTAGGATAAAGTTTATTATATAAATGCTCTTTTCACAAATTGTAGAGTATGGGTTTCTTCTTTTCGTTGTCTTTGCGTTTCATTAACCGCTATGACGACGCTAAAATACATTTGGCACGGTCTAATAGATTATGTCGATCACAATACTGCTTTATTTTAAAGCAAAATCATTCTGTCGTTTGCCCAAAGAGGGCTTAATTACACCTCGGGTGAAGATTGAGGTAAAGTTGGTTTATATTCCACATTCTTGAACAGTGACAACTTGTGACACTCTCAATATTGTTTACCGTGTTACTCTGAATATTCTTCTGAAACTGCAGGTTATCATGACTTCAAAACAACATCACTATTTAATAAATGATTGGCTGCTAATATAATTTCCATATAAATAATTTGCAAACAGTACTTTTCTGAAATTCTATTATGAATGAGAAAGTCCAAATGTGTGAATATAAAACCAACTTTTGACGTTGCTAGCTTACGACTTGTTATGATGACTTGCACTATTCCTTTCAGTTTCAACATTAGACCATACCATTTCTATCAAATATTAGGCTAAATTGCCTGTTTTATGTAATGCGTTTAAATTCAAATAACATACATTTCTTGTGAATTGGGCCTGCGAAAAGGTACTTTCAATATTGGATTAGCAGTTGAATTGTTGTTTTGAGTTACATGTACATCCGTTTCATATTAAATTATTTTGTACTCCTAACCTAGCCTGTGCCAAAATATTTTCTGGTAGGCAAAGTGAAATTGAATGACTGCAGAACCCTAACTTTAACTGCAATAACTGCTAAAAAGAGCCTACATAATAAAAAAATTTATATATATTAGCCATTACCCCCCCCCCCCCCCCCCTCTCCATCTTTCAGTGTGTGTATGTTTGTTTGTATGTGTGTTTGTTTGTTTGTTTGTTTGTTTGTGTGAGTGAGTGTGTGTGTGTGTGTGTGTGTGTGTGTGTGTGTGTGTGTGTGTGTGTGTGTGTGTGTGTGTGGCATTTTGCTATTGTGGAAATCAAGTCAGTGAGTTATTTTAGTTATATTGTAATGGTAAAAAAAAGTTTGAATTGATTCATGTTGAGTCTTGTTCTTTTTTAGGAGAAGTATTTATTGTGCAGTTTTACTGAAGAGGTTTAACATTTATTTTCATCTTACAAATAATAAAATAAAAATGAATCAAATTAAAATAAATACTTTCTCCAACTAAAAGTTGTGAATGTAATGTCTGTAGTTTCTGTGTAAGTCCACATTTTAATTTTTTTTCTTTAACACTTTCTCTAAATCTGAATTAGTGATAGATATGAGTAACAATACTGCAAACAATACTGTTGACCTGGAGATCAAATGGTTGAAGAAGACAGACTGTGTCTACAAGATACAAAAGAACCTACCTCTGAAGAATGAATCTGGTGTTGGTGCTTACCTGTGCCAAGTTACTTGTGAAGACACAATCAAGGAGATAAACATATGTGAGTGTTTATGTTTGAGTGTAAAACTTGATTTTACACTAGTTCTAATTTCATGTTTGACCAAAATAAAAATTAGAGGATTTCTAAAAGATGTTTTTTTTCCCCAACTGAACTACAATCAGTATGTGATAAACTCTTGGAATCAGAAAACTATCAATTTTTAACTATCCATAGATAATCAGTATGCAGAATAACTTTAAAATAAACAAGCCATTCAATCACATTGGATAAAAATAGTACTTTTTTCTGTTCATGTTGTTTTTTTAAATGTTCAAATGAGATTTCATTGTGACTCATACAACATTATTTCCCTACAGCTTTAAAAGAGGCCCCTGGAACTGAACAAGCATCCACATTGAAACTGGTAATGCACAAATAAATTTAGCTTCTATTAAATTTTCTATTTTATTCCTTCAAAACATTGTTATTTAGTGGAGATTTGTCCAGTCTGGTTTTATTGATCATAATCATCCCGAGCATTTAAGGCTGATTTTCCCATCTGACTAGTTGTTTCAGTATGTGACACAATTGGGCATTTACTGTACAGTATATGAACAAGGCAATCATGCTCAGATCTGCACAAAAAACAACCAGTCTGAGTTCAGTAGGTGCAATGCGTAGTTGTGCCCTGTGTTTTCATCCGTTCGTGAGACTTCTGTATGTAAAATCCTGGATTTCAGACTACGTAATCTAATAGATCTAAATTCTTTCACTAGAATTCAAAATAAATCACATATCGTAATTTAATTGTCAGGTATTAATGTATAATGCATTTACACAATTAAACATTAAGATTCCAGGATACACTTAATGCACACCAGTTGCTCAAAAAAGTTACATACACATGATGCAAAAGAAGCATATTTTCAACCAAAGCTCATAGCAACAATCTGATACAAAGCCCTGCAATAATTGCTAAAGCCCCAATATGTAAAATAGTATAAAAGATTCTTAAACTTTTATGCAGCAACGATGTCACATAAGCAATGCACTGTTCACACAAAAATGAAACTGCAGTCAATTTGTTCTCCCTCTGGCCATCCTTAAGGTGTAGGTAAAACTGTTTCCTTGAGCTTAACATTTTAGAAGATTTCTACCGGAAACCGTGGTCCTTGGCAAATTATATTGTAATTGTTGATCATTGGTAACCTTCCCTTTCCCACAGTAAAATAAAACATGCAATCAAAACAGAATAGCTACTGATGATAAATACTCAAAGATGCTGGAACCTAGAATAAAATGACATGCACAATTTCAGTCAAAGACATGACATATTCCCAGTTGTTTGATATACATTACACAACAGAACTTTACACAAATTTTATTACGCATAATTGTATTACACAAAAGTCTGTTATGGGTTTGTTGAGGCAGGATGAGAATGTGCCGCCATTTAAAAATTGGTGGAGGTTAGTTGGGATAAGTGCATGTTAGTCGTGTTCTCAAACAGAGAATTATAATTAAAAAACACAAGGTTATGCAATCAGGTAACAAGAAAAACACACCTCTCATCTATTTGTTTAGTATTGTAACTCCAGTCACTTTCCTGCATAGATCTCTATTTGAGCAAAACCTTCTAATGGAAACATAAAGAGTATAAACACCATGACAAATTAACAATTTGCTTTGCTTTGAGCAGTGGACATAAAGTAATTGCCAACACGTCACTGTAAATTTAGGTTATCTATTCAGTTTACTGTATCTATCTCTTCTATATACATTTATTTGTTTTATTTTTTGTTTTTGTCTAATTTATTTGATTTAAACTATAATATGATAATTGTGATTTATTTTGTGGGCGTTTTTTTATCCACCTTATTTAGGTATTAAACTGTGGGCCATCTATATATGACATCTATATCTAACTTAAAATTAATCAGATTTTCTTTTAAAAATATATATATATCTTTTATTTTTTTATATTTTATCTATCCATCCCTATGCAAATCTTATATGGTACTATATGAATACATAAATAAATAAATAAATAAATAGCTAATATTTAAATGTGTTATATTTAATGTTATATTGTTGTAAGTGACTGGATTTCTGGAAAAAAAAAACCTAATGTTAAAGTTGAATAGAATTCAGTGAATAGTACTCAAAAAGTTGAATAAGGGAAGCATGGAGTGACTGAAATATTTTTCTTGATTTCAAGAAGGATTTTCAGGATCTGGAGAAGATGTTTACTATTGATGCATTACACAAATCACCAAGGACCATGGTTTCTAAAAATATAATTTTTATATATAATTTTAGCTTATAAATTTTCTCATAACATCAATGAAAGAGCACTTTTTCCCTTCCCTGGATGTGACAGAACGAACCTTGCCAGTCCGGGACGCGCTGCCTTCCGGCTTGCAGGTTCTACGTGCTTCGCCAGTGGCTCACGAGCGCTGGGGGGACGGTCTCCTTTCCCTCAGCCCTCTAGCCCCCTCTCTGGAGTCAGGAGCGAATCGCTCTTCTCCAGCTCTTCCGCAGGAGCCTCGCGCTTCCCGAATCAGCACACCCACTCCGCGCTGCCCCACCGCTGGTACGTCAGCGATTGTTGCGATGACTCCATTAGCGAGGGCTCTGCCTGCCTGGTTAGCGCAGGCCAGTCCCTCGCGGTGGCTCATATGCACAATCAGACTCGGTTACGCGATTCAGTTCGCGAAGCGGCCCCCCAAGTTCACGGGCATATATTTCACCAGGGTCAACCCCCTGTTCGCCCCTGTCTTGCGAGAGGAGATTGCTGCCCTCCTGGCGAAGGGTGCAATCGAGCCAGTTCCTCCAGCCGAGATGGAAAGTGGGTTTTTCAGCCCATACTTCATCGTACCCAGAAAGAGCGGTGGGTCACGACCAATCCTTCTGCGCATTTTGAACCGCTGTCTGCACAGGCTGCCGTTCAGAATACTCACGCAGAGGCGCATTCTCCAATGCGTTCGTCCTCGGGATTGGTTTGCAGCCATAGACCTGAAGGACGCATATTTCCATGTCTCTATTCTTCCACGCCACCGCCAGTTTCTGCGGTTTGCGTTCGAAGGTTAAGCGTGGCAATACAAGGTCCTCCCCTTCGGGCTCTCCCTGTCTCCGCGGGTCTTCACCAAACTCGCAGAGGGTGCCTTAGCGTCCCTTCGGCTCGCGGGCATCTGTATACTCAATTATCTTAACGACTGGCTGATTTAGCCCACTCGCGGGAGCAATTGATTATGCACAGGGACAAGGTGCTTCAGCATCTCCGTCTACTGGGGCTTCAGGTCAACCGAGAAAAGAGCAAACTCGCCCCCTAGCGGAGGATCTCTTTCCTCGGGATGGAGCTAGACTCGGTCACCATGTTAGCGCACCTCTCCGAGGAAATCGCTCGCCTGTTGCTGGGCTGTCTGAGAGAGCTCGACAGCAAACTAGTGGTCCCACTGAAGTTCTTTCAGAGGCTCCTGGGGCATATGGCATCTGCGGCCGCCGTCACGCCGCTCAGATTGCTCCATATGAGACCACTCCAGCACTGGCTTCACGATCGGGTCCCAAGACGCGCATGGCACACACCGAGTCTCTGTTACTGCGCTGTGTCGCCGCGCCCTCAGCCCTTGGAACGACCCCTCATTCCTAAAGGCCTGTGTGCCTCTAGGACAGGCGTCCAGCCATGTTGTTGTTCAACAGATGCTTCCAACACGGGTTGGGGGGCCGTGTGTCGCGGGCATGCAGCTGCGAGCCTGTGGAAGGGTGCCCAGTTGCATTGGCATATCTATCGTCAAGAGCTGTTGGCAGTGTTCCTCGCTATCCACCGCTTTTTACCGGTGCTGGAGCGGCAACACATGCTGGTCAGGACAGACAGTACGGCGGCTGCGGCGATTCGGGGAGGCCCAGATCGATCTGTTTGCTTCCCCCGAGAATGCTCATTGCAAGTTGTTTTTTTCCCTGTCCGAGGGCTCTCTCGGCACGGATGCACTGGCCCACAGCTGGCCTCGGGGCATGCGCAAGTATGCGTTTCCCCCAGTGAGGCTGCTCGCGCAGTTACTGCAAGGTCAGGGAGGACGAGGAACAGGTTCTGCTAGTTGCGCCCCTTTGGCCCAACCGGACCTGGATATCAGAGCTCTCCCTCCTAGCGACAGCCCTCCCCTGGCAGATCCCTTTGAGAGAGGACCTACTTTCTCAGGGACAGGGCACCATCTGGCACCCTCGCCCCGATCTTTGGAACCTCCACGTGTGGTCCTTAGATGCGAGGAAGACTTAGGTAACCTACCGACTGCGGTGGTTAATACCATCACTCAGGCTAGAGCCCCCTCCGAGGCCCCCTCCGAGGCCTACGCCCTAAAGTAGAGTCTATTCACTGAATGGTGCATCTCTCGCAGAGAAGACCCCCTAAACTGCCAGATTAGTGTTGTTGGACAGCAGGCTGTCGCCCTCCACTCTCAAGGTTTACGTGGCCGCCATCTCCGCTTATCATAACGCGGTAGCTGGCGGCACCGTGGGAAAGCATAACCTTATCATCCGGTTCCTTAGGGGTGCTAGGCGAATCAATCCATCTCGCCCCCCTCTCATGCACTCTTGGGATCTCGCCCTTGTTCTCATGAGTTTGCGAGCAGATCCCCTTGAGCCACTCGAATCAGTATCTCTAAGATTTCTGTCCCTGAAGACAGCTCTGCTGGTCGCGTTGGCCTCCATCAAGAGGGTCGGGGACCTGGAGGCATTTTCGGTCAGTGACTCGTGCCTGGAATTCGGGCCGGATTACTCTCACATCATCCTGAGACCCCACCCGGGTTATGTGCCCAAGGTTCCTACCACCCCCTTCAGAGATCAGGTAGTGAACCTGCAAGCGCTGCCCCCGGAGGAGGCAGACCCAGCCCTTTCGTTTCTTTGTCCAGTTCGCGCTCTGCGCAAATTGTGGACCGTACTCAGACTTTTAGATCATCTGAGCAGCTCTTTGTCTGTTATGGCGGTCGGCAGCAGGAAAGTGCCGTATCAAAACAAAGATTATCCCACTGGATTGTGGATGCCATTTCACTCGCTTATTCGAGTCGAGGTCAGCCGTGTCCCCCAGGAGTGCATGCACACTCCACTCGGAGCGTTGCATCCTCTTGGGCGCGTGCATGCGGCGCCTCTCTAACAGACATCTGTAGAGCTGCGGGCTGGGCGACACCCAACACATTTGCAAGGTTTTACAATCTGCGAGTGGAGCCGGTTTCCTCAAGGGTATTAGGTAACCCTTTGGTGATTGAGGAAACAACTTGGTAGGGTGTTGAGTCACGCTTGCTGCGCCATTTTCCCTAACACGGAGATACGTGCGCCTTTTTATCTGTCAGTAAAGTTCCCCGTCAGGTGAGCTCTGCAGATTCCTCTGTGAATTATCTAGATGCTCACGACTTCCCAAAAAATATATCTAAATCCGTAAGACTTCTGTTGAAGTAGGATAAATAAGGGCCAGGGACACGTTGGAGGACCGCGCCTCCCATGATGTGGGTGCGTCACGCTTGCTTGACTATCCCCTCATCGGGGGCATTGGTAAGGTGCAGTCATTATAACGCTTTCCATAGTTCTCCCATTCGTGGATTTTCACAAAGATCAAATCCACTTATAGCACTGGAGTTCCCCAACCGAAGGGGAACGTTCGAGGTTACAGAAGTAACCCTTCGTTCCCCGAGGAGGGGAACGGAAGTGCCATACTCCGTCGCCATAATGACTGTCCCTTAGCTGTTTGACAGTCTCTTCAGCTTAAAAGGATGGCGTTTGCTCACTCCAGGTGTGCTTATATGCTGGGATAATTGGCAATGAAGCACACCTGTGCAAGCTTACGCTGCCAATTCATTCATTCATTGGCCCGTTCAATACTCTTTCAGGCAAGCGGCTTCTGAACCGAAACCTCCCATTCGTGGATTTTCACAAAGATCAAATCCACTTATAGCACTTCCGTTCCCCTCCTCGGGGAACGAAGGGTTACTTCTGTAACCTCGAACGTTCTCCTCGATCAAAAGTTACCTTTCCTTTTTATACTCTGAGCAAAGCATTCTGAGTGAATTGCCTACCCACAAAATCAGCTGAAAGCAAAGATGAGGATATATAGTGGGGGAGAAGTACATTTTTACTTTCCTCTAGCCATGACTCAACAATAGTAAATAAATTGTATATTGACTGCAACGCTAAAGTCATAAACTGTCAGATGACACCAAACATGACAAAGTTATATGAAAGAAGATCCCGAGAAGATTGCAGTATTGTCTATAGTGAAAAGCACATGGCTACTGTAAGGAAATGGCAGAGATGTGTTTTGGAGCTGTGATGAACTCTGCCATGCCAGGAGGACTCCTCCTTTGACTGGAATATTTATAGAATTTAATTTATAGAATTTATTTATTAAGAATATTTATATAATTTTATAAAAGTTAAACAATGTTCTTCTCTTCAACAGAATGACAAGCAATTGACAGATAATGACAGAATAAACCAGACATATTCTGTTTTATTGGAAGGTGAGAGGATTAGTTAATTTTCTGAATGAAAATGGCCAAATTTACTATCACTCGTGTCATTCAAGATGTTATCTTTGGATTTTACTTTACTGAAAATACTTTTAAGGTTTTGAAAAAGAAAAAAACTTGTTTGGACTTTTCTCCATATAGTGGACATACAGTGCATCTGGAAAGTATTCATAGCACTTCACTTTTCACAATATTTGTGAAATGTTGTTGTAATCCTTATTCCAAAATGGACTGAATTAATTTATTCTGTCAAATTTCTACACACAATACCCCATAATGACATTGTGAAATTTTTTTTGGAAATTGTTGCAAATTTATTAAAAATAAAAAACCTGAAAAATCGCATGTTCAGAAGTATTCACAGCCTTTGCAAAGAAGCTCTAAATTGTCTGTAGCCTTCAGAGACAGGATTGTCTTAAGTCACAAAGACTGGGGAAGGTTACAGAAAAATGTGTGACAAGCTTGTGGCATCATATTCAAAAAGACTTGAGGCTGTAATTATTGGCAAAGGTGCATCAACAAAGTATTGAGCTAAGGCTCTGAATACTTCTGTACATGTGATTTTTTTTTTTTTTAAATACATTTGCTACAATTTCAAAAAAATCTTTTTTCACATTGTCATTATGGGGTATTGTGTGTAGAATTTTGAGGAAATAAATTAATTTAATCCATTTCGGAATAAGCCTGTAACAAAAAATGTGGAAAAAAATGAAGCGCTATGAACACTTTCCAGATGCACTGTATATACATATTGTGGTGCTCAGTGCTTGAACTTCCAAATTAAAAGAAAGTAACATATTGGATGACAAAAGTTTGAGTAAATTATCCTGAAATTTTCAAAAATATAGTTTGAACACAGGGTTCTTGTTTTTTTATAATATTACATTACAGGTGATTATCTTGTATATTTACTCTACATGTCTATTATTCATAATATGAGAATATTAATACAAGTTACATAATTATTTAAACATATTTGTCTTAAGGATATAATATGCTTGTTTTCATATTGGATATTGTGTGCAGTTTTCTCTACTCTGCAGAAAGTGCTGCAGACAGACAGACAAGGTGATGAAGCAGCAAAAAATCTGGACAAGCAACAGCAAGGATGTTCAGGTCAGTAATTGCTGTTTTAAATACGTACTGGACAGGTATTCAAGTAAAATTGGTCTAAAGCATTCATTTACTGAACAATTAATCAATTGTCTGAGTAGGTTTAATAAATTGTGTGGTGATGGTAATTTTTCAGGGATTTAAAGACTCAAATTAAGGGGAACTGGAAAATAAGACCGATTGCATTTACTGCATCCAGAGCAATTTTTTGACTAAATTATGTAATGATAATGACTTAAAAGTTGTTCTTATCTATTTTTATTTTTAGCCATACACCAAATTTAGCTAGTTTGTTTTTCTCATTTTTGGGTTATTTTTTTCTTGGAGGAGCAAAGAAAAGCACACATACACATACTACATTACAGGACACGTACACATACATTACAGGACAATACATTAAATCTGGGAGAACACAGCAATAGAAACAAGTCTATATCAACCATTTGGAAACCTGGTCAATAAAGAATTGGATTGTGCAGGTCAGTAATTACTGGTTAAATCTCTACATGGACGGTTTATACATAGAGACAATTAAAGGAGCAGACTAGTGCCGACAATCCTGTTTCCATTTTCACACTAATCACACTAATCTAAACAAGAGTTCAGTGTTTGCAATATATGGAATAAATATGAAATATAGAAATATATCCATAAAAGGCACAAGCTATAGTTAATGGTATCTTTTGTTAATTTATTTTGAAATTAACGTTTCAACAAACACTTGTAGACTGCAAAGTATAAGTGTGTAATTAGTGTAAAATGCACATTTAGGAGTCACGTCAATTACTCTGTCAATTTTCTGAAATGAAAGTAAAGCAGTACACTTTATTACACATCATCTGTTTACGCAGAGGTTGATATTAATTAATTTCCTGTGAATTTCCTATTCATATGTTTTCTTAGGAACTTCCAAATTGAAAGAAAGTAATATTTTGGATGACAAAAGTTTGCGTAAATCATCATGAAATTTTCATTGGGGAATTACAGTCTATAAATGAAAATGTAGTTTGAACACAGGGTTCTTGATTAATCTATATTAATACATTACATGTGGTTATCTTGTATATTTATTCTACATGTCTATTACTTATGATATGTGAATATTAATATAAGTTTACGTAACTTTATTAACAATTTTCTCTTAAGGATATAATATGCTTGTTTTCATATTGTAATTGTGTAAAGTTTTCTCTACTCTAGAAAAAGGTAAAGGGTCGCAGACAGACAGACAAGGTTATGATGACCCGAATGAACCAGCAGAAGATGTGAACAATCAACAGCCAGGACCTCTAGGTGAGTAATTACTGCTTTAAATGTCAATAGTCATAATATATTTCTAGACAGGGGTTCAAGTAAAATATTTCTAAAGCATTCATTTGCTGAACAATTTTTTCTAAATGGGTTTTATATATTGATGGTAATTTTCTGAGATTCAACAACTCAAATTAAAGGCAGGTGGATTATTTAAATGAGTCAGATTGCATTTAGTGCATTTAGAGGAATATACAGTCATAAAATATGCCAGAGCAATTTTTTGACTAAATGATGAAAAGATAACGTCATAAATTGAAATGAGAAGTTTATTGTTCTTATCTTTGGTTTATTTGTGATCATAGAGGAGCAAAGAGTACTTGTTTTCATATTAGGAATTGTGTGTATAATTTTCTCTACTTTAGAAAAAAGTAAAGAGCAGCGGACAGACAGACAAGATGATAATAACCTGAATGAAGCAGGAGGAAATCCGGACAATCGACAGCCAGGACCTCCAGGTCAGTAAATACTGCTTTAAATGCCAATAGTCATAATATATTTCTTGACTGGGGTTCAAGTAAATTTTTTAAAGCATTAATTCGTTATACAATTCATCAGTATTATGTTGTGGAAAGTTGCGCTGGATCCTGACAAACATCTTCTAAGTTTCAAAAAAAGAGGCTGAGGTCTTCAAAGTTGTCAAGTTAAAGCAGTTTATTGTTACAGCAGAGTTGGTCGATCGATCTCTCTCCTACAAATGTTCCAAAACCCACAGTTTATATACAGGTTTTTCCTATAGTCATCATGAAACAGTGGTGTAGCATGAGCATCACGTTATTTCCAGGCTCCAATAAGATTCTAGCCTTTATATTGATGGCTGTATGTTTTTCTGTTTTTAAACATCTTAAAGGTCATATTTCAACACTTTTTAAATGATTCTCCCTAAGCATGCTATTGCCGTGCAGGTTGAGCAAAGTTGTTTTTAAGTTGTTTTTGTCATGATCAATACATCAATACGTGTTGCATATGCTGTCTGAATGGTCTTACTTCACCGCTGTTTACTTCTGTGTGTTTTGCTCTGCATCACTTGAATGTATTTCTATATGTTTTAACAGTGTATTTTAATAGTGGCAGATTATACAGTGATTATATAGTGATTACATAATAAAAGTTCCTCTATAATTCTCCAATATCTTCTGAGGGAGTTTTATAAATTGTTTCTTAATGGTAGTTTTCTGAATATGAAAGACTCAAATTAAGAGGAAGTGTATTATTTAATTAACAAAGATTGCATTTAGAGGAATATTTGATCATTATAATGCCATTCCTGAGTAATTTTTAGACTAAATGATATAAAGATTGTGTGTCTTAAAACTCATTGTTCTTATCTATTCATATTTGTAGCTATAGACAGAACTTAGCTAGTTTATTGTTTTCATCTTTGGGTTATTTGTGTTCATGGAGAAGCAAAGAGTGCACACATACAGTACACATACTACAGACGCTGCTACCGCTGCTCAAATCTTCAAAATCTCATATCTACCATCTGTGCAAAAGTCAAAAGCGCAACTGCGTTGTAACTTATGTTGCCAGATTGAGTTAAAAAATGCTTTAATATTTTAATAGTAGCTCAATGGTTAGCACTGTCACCTCACTGATTCGAGTCCCAGTTGGGTCAGTTGGCATTTTTGTGTGAAGTTTGCATGGTCTCGCTGTGTTGGCATGGGTTTCCTCCGGGTGCTCCAGTTTCCCCTACAGTCCAAAGATATGTGCGATAGGTGAATTGAATAAACTGAACTGACCATAATGTATGAGTGTGTATGGGTGTTTCCCAGCAGCTGGAAGGGCATCTGCTGTGTTAAACATACAGTATGCTGGATAAGTTGGCAGTTCATTTCGCTGTGGTGGCCCCTGATGAAAAAAGAAACTAAAATGAAGGAAATAAAATGAATGTGTGAGGTGAGCAACTCGAGCAAAGATCTGGCAACTTGATAAACATAGACAAAAAGTGATTTTTTTGTAACTAGATTGGACCATACAAATTACGAGAGTTTCCCTGGTGAAATAACAAAATGGGAAGATGAAGAGCGATGGGTGTGAAATATCGGAGACTCGCAGGAAAAACTCCCACAAGTGTTGACATATACATATACATTACATTACAATACATTAAATCTGCTTATCTTCTAAATGTACACTTCAAAGATCAGTGATGTGTAAATACTCACATTTACTTATTTAAATCATTTTTTCACTACATGAAACCCTTATTTTTCACCTGCAATCATTTAGAGCTCTTTGAAGCTGCAATAAAACTTCATTTTGAACCTTGTCACTTATACTCAAACGGACACACACATGCACCAGTAGCAATATGTACATCTGAGACGGCGCACATATAATAGTCACTTAATTATTAAGTGGTTCTATTAAATTATCAATCATTGATTTTCTATAGAATACCACAAGCCTTTTATTATAGAAATGTTTAGATTTTTGAGGGAAATTGAGGAAGATTTACTCTGACTTACTGTGGGCTTGTATTGCTCAGTGCTTCAACTTCCAAATTGAAAGAAATTAACTTTGATGACAAGGGGGTGAGTAAAATACTATGAAATTTACATTGTGTAAGTGAACTACACTGCAACTGTTTTCACAGTTGTGCACTGATTGCTTTTTGTAAGGATGCTTGCTTTTTAGTGTCATGTCATTTGCACATCCTGTGACAATGTGCAACAGAAGTAGACATATTAAGACGAATGATTAATAAATTAATTGATTATTCATTTAAACAATGATTGATCTTGAGAATTTTGGTAACTACTGTAACATCCATATTCCACATACATCAACATTTTACTCCTCCGCACTTACATATTACATATGCTAGAGCTTGTGCAAGATGACTTTTGGTTAAAAGGTATACATATTTTTCTCTATGCAAGACCCTTATTTCATGGCTGGGATTGTCTGAAGCCTTTTGAAGCTGCATTGAAATAGCAGTTTTGGAAGTTCGAACCATTGAGCACCATGGAGGTCCACTATATGAAGAAAAAACCTTTAATGTTTGTTTTAAAAAGAAAGAGATAAAAACCTTGAACACCATACTCTGAAAGTAAACTAAACATTTTAAGATGTGCTATATTTGTTTTAATTTGGGGATCTGTGAGTATTGTTTTGTTTACTAGAAATATAACTAATGTGAAAATGTTTGTCTTTCTTTTCAATCACAGACGGGGATTGGACCGTGCTATCAATAGACATCAATACATCTCAAGATAATAAAGACAACCTGGGCAATGAACTGGAATGTTCAGGTCAGTAATTACTGATTTATTCTGTGCATGTACGGTACAAACATAGAGACAATTGAACAATCCTGTTTCCGGTGTTCAGTAAGTGCAATATTTAGAATAAATATGGAATATACAAATAAATCCTGATTTAAAGGGACAAGGTATGGTTATATGGTATTTTTCAGGATACCAATATTCAGCTTAAAATGCAATTTAAAGGTTGAACTAGGTTAGATAAATAGGGTACTTACTTTAGGCTAGTCATTCTATAACAATGCTTTGTGCTGTAGCCAAACAGAAGAAAAGCTTATGGAGGTTGATAATTTTGACCTTAAAAAGTTTTTTTTTTTTTTTAATTAAAAACTGTTTTTATTTTAGCCAAAATAAAAATAGACATTTTTAACATAATTTGAAAATTATTTGAAAAAAATATATATATATATTTTTACTTCAACTATATAGACACACACACACACACACACACACACACACACACACACAGTTGAAATCAAAATGCCCTCCTGTGAAATGTGTATTATTTTTCGATTTACCAGACTAAGGCAATTTTACAGAGTTTCCTATAATATTTTCTTGTAGTAAGAAAATAACGGGAGAACCGCATCCACTACTTTCTGGTTGACATGTAGTTCAAGCTCACATGCATTTGGTGTAGATAAATACAACTTGTAATATAACATTTTCATATTGTGTCTCTAGGCTTTGATTAATTTTATTTACTTTGCGTCATATAAAAAAACCTACATGCCTCACGTCAGTGCCGGTTCTAATTTAAATGGCACCCTGGGCGAACCACCTGCTTTTAGAAATGTACTTTGAAATAAATAATAATAATAATAATAATTATTATTATTATTAATAATAATAATTTACTATTATTTTTCTAAATATGTAATAACAGAAATCAATCCTACATGTAGCCTAACTGGAAAAAAATGTAGACCCAACGAAGTGATTGGCTAAGATCTCTTAAGAAATCTTTTGCCTAAATGTTAAAGACAACTCAATAGAATACAAAAAAAAATCTTTTATGTAATTATCTGTTGTCTTAGACCCGACTCATGGATGACAATGTTATTAAGTCTTACCTCCCTGATTCATCATCTTTCCTTTCTGCTTTATGGCCATGGTAAAAATAAGATCAGCATCATATTATAACTTTAGTTTTGTCGACTTGCAAAGCTGGCTGCGTGCTGACACCTCTGCATAAAAGTTACTCCAGTTTCACAGTACATAAACCTGGTGTATTTTATTGGCGTGCTTGTAAACACTCGGTATTCACACCAGGAGCAGAGCAGAGCAGCACGTGAAGCCTGGTTATTCCAGCTTGAAGCGCGCAAGGATGGTTTTCTGGGCGTATGATTTCGGCTGGTGGTGCGCACAGCATTTTTTGAGACTCCAGCGAACAGTGCGCACGGCGCTGCATTTGATTTGAGTTTAGTATAAAACACTTTGAAGAGATTTTGTCTGAAACAATAGCCTACGACTTTACAGACATCTTTATGATCATAGAGATAACCTAATGATTAATTATTCTTGGCTATAAATTACAACAGCCATGGGAAAGAAGAAAGTTTTTGTTAAGGTTTGGAAAAACCTGAAGGATAAGTTTGTTAAAACCAAAAGAGGCCATAGCAAAAGTGGACACCCAGGTACACAATTACAGAAACATGTTTTTTCCACCATTCAAAGGTATATATATATTCTGCGCGCAATTTTAGTTTGATTTCATTACTGTAGTTTCGGTTATGAAATAAAGAAAGAATAACAAACTTGAGCATGCAAATTGAGCCAAATATGAATGGCCATAACATCTTTATTAAAAAAGATGCCACAGCCATGTCACCCTGCAGCCCAAGACCGGTTACTCACTGAAGCTAAGCAGGGCTGAGCCTGGTCAGTACCTGGATGGGAGACCACAAGGGAACACTAGGTTGCTGTTGGAAGTGGTGTTAGTGAGGCCAGCAGGGGGCGCTCAACCTGTGGTCTGTGTGAGTCCTAATGCCCCAGTAAAAGTGAAGGGGACACTACACTGTCAGTGGGCGCCGTCTTTCGGATGAGACGTTAAACCGAGGTCCTGACTCTCTGTGGTCATTAAAAATCCCAAGGCACTTCTCGTGAAAGAGCAGGGGTTTAACCCCGGTGTCCTGGCCAAAGTCCCTCTATCGGCCCTTACGATCATGGCCTCCCAATCATCCCCATCCACCGAATTGGCTCTATCACTGTCCCTCCACTCCACCAATAGCTGGTGTGTGGTGAGCGCACTGGCGCCGTTGTCCTGTGGCAGCCGTCGCATCATCCAAGTGGATGCCGCACGCTGGTGGTGGTGTGGAGAGACCCCCCTCATGATTGTGAAGCGCTTTGGGTGTATGGCCATACACAATAAATGCGCTATATAAATACACATTACATTACATTACATTACAAAAAAAGTTATATATATATATAGTTATATATATATATATATATATATATATATATATATATATATATATATATATATATATATATATATATATATATATATATATATATATATATATATATATATATATATATATATATATTTATTTATATATAACTTTTTTTTTTTTAATTGAAGGTTATTGCACAGAAGTCCTTCTTGCTTAAGCTCCACCCCTGATTAATCGTTTGTCAAACCTGTGGATCAATCGAAATGAAGATTGGTCACAAATGGTCATCCCTAGTTACATTATTGAAATAAAAAGCATGCTGTAATATTTCTTTTTACTTAACATGAAGGTTCCCATCGCAGAAATAATTTAATTAACCTAAACTAACCTATAGTACACTTTTTAGGTTGCCAAATATTTTAGTGGTTACCAAACTTTCACAACATTTTATCTATAAAAAGTTCCATTCTCATAATCATCTCATAAGACATCTCATCTCATACAAGTTCACTAATACTTGCTTTTGTTCATTAATACTTTATGCATAACACATGCAACTCATTTCTTTCTGAACTATTTTACATTTTCAGTGGAAATCTCATTTAATTTAATTATTTATTTTGAAATATAGATGTTGTTTTGTGTTCATTTCTGCTCGTTCAGTCAAGTCAAGTCAACTTTATTGTCAATCAAACCATGCAACAGTACATTACACAGCAGACTCTTTTAACAGAGTCTTTAAATATTTTACAGATCAAGGACAAAGCCAATCACCAGCTGATTCAAACAAGGTAAATCTTACACTCTAGTTGCTTTTAAGACATTTTTGCTTACTGTACTTTTACATATTTTTTGACAAACACATAAGACTTCAAGTTGTTTATCTGCAGGGTGAAAAGAAATTACAGGAATTCCAAATAAAGAAGCCAAAAAAAGAAAAAAGTGAGTCTTATGTGTCCCACATATTAACTGCTTGTTTGATCCTGAAAATTAGATTTGTATTACAGTCCCATTTTATATTAGGTGTTTTAACTATGAACTAGTGACAAAAAGCAATAGTTTGGTGCAGTGAACTTTTTGTAATACAGTAAGGTTAAAGTTAAGTGGCAAGTTTAGTGTTATGCTTGGGGTTTGTGTTTGTAGTACATCTATTTAAAGAGTTCATGTAATTTGAGATACGTTTTGTAAACATTTGTATTTTCCTCTGTTTTACTCGCTCCTGATTCATTTTCCAGAGGGGGCCACAGTGTTCTCTATTTTAGCTGGAAAGATAAATGACATTCACAAGAAATTCATTGCCCATCTGCAAGACCAAATTGAGGATCTGACAGAAGCTCAAAGAGTTGAAGACAGTGACGTTGTTTTGATTTTCTGTCCTATTGTTTCTCGAGCTGGAACTGACATTGATGCTGCCCTGGCAAAAATTCAGTACTCTACAGGTTGTTTGATTATAGGTGTCACCTTATTTTAATGTTTAGGGTACTCTCAACTTAAAATCTTAGACATTTCTATTATTGTTTTTGTCCCTAAACAGCCTCTAAGCTGACTGTTTTAGTGGTGCTTCATCACACATTTGACCCAGAGAAAACTATATCAAACAGCAGCAAAAGTGTCAACAGGGAGAACCTGCTCACAGTGGACTGTCTGTTCTATGAGGATACGGGATTACTGGACTGTCAAAGGAATTCAGATGCATTAGAAGAATCTGTCAACTGGTTAATAGCGCAGGTATTTAACAAGATGCTTTAAATTTACTGAACACATTATTTTATATTATAAGCTTATGTTGCAATTTTTTTAGGGACACACAGTTGGTTCTTCATTGCAACAAAGGTCAAAATCACTTTTATTTAAATAAAATATATGTTATATTTACAATAAATGAAGATTTTTGCTGCAAGTCCTAATTCCCAGTAACATACTTCAAAATGGTAAAGCTTGTCTTTATTTGAACCAGGCAGACAACATGGATTCCGGCAATATGGTCAAAAAAAAATTTGATGTGTTCGATGAACACGATGGTGGTAAGTACAAACTCACTTCTAATTGCTGTGTCTAATAACCCACAGGTTTAACAGGTCCAGTATTTTAGAACATTCAACAACTTTCTATTATACTAGTTTAACATGAATATTTGAAGTAATACTAGCTTTGAATAGTTTAATAGTCAGTTGCAAACACATACTGTAGATGGCTTCTTATTCATCTTATTAGCTTTAGATAGCTAATAATAGATTTAGGCACTATTGTCAGATTGTGGTTACAGTTTAACAGTGACAAATACTATGAACAAAATTAACAATTTGTTGCACTTTTTATGTCTGCAACAATTGTTTCTGTTAAGGTAGATACTGTAGAGCACAAGTGTTACATAGTGATAAACAAGAGGTCTGTCATTTGGTCAATGACCTCATTGGACAGTAAACTTGTATTGCTATTTAAGGCCTTTGAATGGTGCAAATTACACATGACACTGAAAGGACTAGTAATTTTGACACTGCTTATATGATAGTTGTTCTGCTAAGCAATTATCTGAAACTTGGTCCAGTGAAGATTTATGTTGGTTGTAAAAGTAAAGACTGAATCAAAAACAAATAATCATTAGCTATCTCACATCATTCATCTTTACAGGGTAACTCCAGGAAGCAGGTCACTTCAGGAGACAGTAGGTTAAAATTGTTCTACATTTACAATTGATGTACTGTTTTATTATACAAAAAAACTTCAAAAGACCCATCATATATTTAACATCCTACGCAAATGTGAAAAAGATATGTGAAATATGTTTCATGAATATGTTTTAAAAATATTTACCCTTGCAATCTTGATCAATGAAATTGTCTTTAAAATGAACTCGTGTAATGTTATTTAGTAAACATTTAAGGTAAATACAACCAATTAAAATTGTAATTTTGCTGAACATAATCTGCTAATGGCTTTCTTGTTACATAAGGCACTTTGACACCTGTATTGTATTGTATGTGTTGGATCTGGTTTAATAATCAATGTTTCTTTTTCAGACAAAAAAGAAAAGAAGACACCTACGTTTTCTATGTAGGTTGATCTGCATTTATTGTACTGTGTTATTATTCTGCAAACAATGAAAATATGTTTCTGATATAATGACTAAACATGCATCACAATAACAATAGATTCTGTGCTTTGTATGGTTTAGAAATCATTAAGGATGGCCTGTTGACTGACACTGAGGATCAGTGCACTCTTGCTGCTTTGTCCATCATTCAGAAAGAACATACAGTACTTTCACATCAGATGAGTCTGCATGTAAATCGGTTTATCACCAAATAAGATTCTTTTCAGCAAGTGTTTCAAGTGTATTTGCAGATGTTTGTAATCATTTTAACCAGCTGTATTGGTAAGATTTATCTAGTTTTGGATATGCTGACTTAAGGCATGCTAGAATTGACAGGTTTTTACAAACCAACATACTGCATAGTCCTAATGGTTCATGCATATAAATTAGTTGAAATGAATGACAAAAACAATAAAACTATCTATGTCTTACTGCTTGGCAGATTTTATGGATGACAAGCAAAAAAAAGTTTAGTTTAGCACCTTGTGTTCATAGAGACCAATACCAATGTGGGTTTTTGTGTATTTTGTTAAGAGACTTTCAGTGATTTTTTTTTTGGTGTAGCACATTAGAATTCTACTAAATATTTCATGTCATCTTAATTATGATATAGGCGGTTCATTCCGCTGTGGTGACCCCAGATTAATAAAGTGACTGAGCCGAAAAAGAAAATGAATGAATGAATGAATGATGAATTATGATATAGGCTAATGATCTCTGGAATGAGCCACTGGAACTTTCCTCTAAATATTTGCATGTAATAAAAACATTGATCATTACAAATCTGATTATATTTACTGATTAAATAGTGATTTCACTATGAAAAAATGTTTTCAACATGAATTAAGGTGACACAACAAAGTTGTTAATCCAACTTAACCTGGTAAGTTTTCATTGTCTCAACAAGTCTGTAAGTAGAGTGTTTGTCACCTCAACTTTAAAACATGCTGGACCAATGTCCTTTAAATTGCTCTCCATAATTCCAATCCAGCAAGTGGCGGATTATTTACTGTGAAGTTGGTTTTCCAACTTCCAATTAAACACCAAAAGAAGACAGACACACCGTATATTTTTTACCAGATGTTTTAATTGTTCAGTTATCATCACATATGGTAAGTAATGCACCTTCAAATGTGTTATAACTTGTAAATGACATTTATGAATATTGTTCATGTGATGATCAGTATAAACGTGTAAGCTGAGAAAATGTTATATACTATTCCTTGCTAGTGAAGGACTACTGAGACATCCAAGCATGAAATGGGTTTTCCTGGTGTGGCAGAGTTCCTCACAGCTCCAATACACATCTCTGCCATTTGCTTACAGTAAACATGTGCTTTTCACCATACACAATTCATCTACTCATGATCTTCCTTCATATAACTTTGTCATGTTTGGTGTCATTTGACAGTTAATGACCTCAGATTTGTAGTGCTGAAATCAGGGCCGGCCCAAGCCTTCAGGGGGCCCTAAGCAGGATTTTATTTGGGGGCCCCTTGGTGCAAACAATATGACAAATTATGGTCAATCCTTGATAATTCGCACACTATAAATTTAAAACACACATTATTGATATTATTCGCTGTAGCTGTGTTGCTTACATCATAAAATATATGTTTTAAGACAATTCTAAATATTATTCTGCAGAAACAACTTCCTATTGATCCAACTTTTTATGACTACTTGCCCAAATCTAAATAAATAGATACAAAACATTAATATGGGCTGGCAGAAACAAAAGCAGCTGGAAGTAGCCAATAACATACTGATTTTTATTATTATTCAAGACGCTGCCAAACAGTCAAACATAGTGACAATAAAGATACATTTTTTTAAATTGGATATAAATGATGACACTGAAAAAAAAATCATATTGTATTTTGTAGTTCAAATAACTTAAAACATCTATTTAAATTAAAATCAAATTAAATCAGGAAGCATTTTTTTAGACATTCGCATATCAATCAAATTAATAAATATGTACCAAAATTGTTCAGTTTTCAGAAATAATTCTAAATTAAGTGAATTTTTTTGTAAAACAAATTAATCTGCCAATGAGATAAGTAAAATAATCTTATTTTAAACCTAAAACAATATTTTTATTTACCCTAATTGGCAGATTATTGAGCTTTTTTTAATGAAAAAATCACATTATTTTGACTAAATATCCTTCTAGAAAATGCTTATTGGTTTAAGAATTTTTAGATATTTGGACTAAAAATCACACAAAAACTATAAGAAAGAAAATCATTTTTGCAGTGTATTTACCAACTGTCAATTGTATAAATCATAAGCTTTTTTTTTTTAATCGCCACGTTCATTAAAAAAGCATTATGCTGCTGTTCCGGGCACTGCTGCTTCAATCACGATATCAATGATTCTGCGACGTATTGATAGATCACAAGAAAACCAGCCACAATAAATCACAATTTTGGTAAATGAAGGGGGAAAATGCATCAAAAATTATGATGAATTTCTTTTATAAACACGCATTTATAGAATTGCAACCATGTAAAACAAGTGCACATCTGTCAAACAAGCTTAAAAATGCTGATGTGCAGAGAGCAGTTTATGACTGAAGAGAGCACATCTCTATCACAGCAGCTGAATCTCAATTTAGTGGAATATGCATTTAAGAAAAAACTGCCAAAATAGTATTTTATTGCTTTCTAATTTTCTGTAAACTTAAAACATTTATTACAACTTGACCAACTATTTTATGTAAACATGGAACATTTTATGCTTAGCCCTGGTTTATTTTTAATAAAAAAAATATGTATTCCCACTATTTTTTCAACTGATCAGAATGCTCTGAGAGGTGAGCACAGACTCCTCTGAGAACCTATGTTTTCACCAGTGGAGAACATTAGTTATTTACTTATCTATTTAAGTTTTTTTAATTCCCCTAATATTCTTTTGCCAAAATACCTTCTACAACATTTGACAAGGTCTGTAAGAGTCAAATAAACGCAAGGCCCTTCTAATTAAATGTTCATGTCTTATTGATATATTTATATATTTTGGCGGAGTTAAAAAGTTTGAGCACAAGTTGCATTGGCCGCGCGCACGCGCGAGCGATTGCAAAGTGAAAGCACGTCTGTTAGAAAGAAACTAGTGGCAAATTCGGGGGAGCTGGATGTCTGAAAACACACAAATATATTGGCCCAGCTTAAACAGAAGAAAGTTTTTGTATGCCTAAGATTTTTTTACCGTTGCAATAGCTTATCTATCTGTCAGTTGTTTACATGACGCTGATGTATGTCCCATGATCCGCCGACTGCTGTTTCGGGAAGCGTCACCTGGTGGCGGCTGGGTGTACTGTAGCTAAAGCGGTTATCTGCTGCAGTCAGTATGGAAAACTGATTAATTAATTCAGATCTTTTGTAAATTTAGGTAAATATCTTGGCGCCTGAGTATGTATCGTGGTCAGAAATAACATTATAAATGGGCATATATTTTGTCCCACCACTAATCCACAACTCAACAAACTAAAACGAAAGTCACACAATAATTTCAAGCACTCTTGGGGGCCCCCTGGTGGCCACGGGGCCCTAAGCAGCCGCTTAGTTCGCTTATGCCTTGGGCCGGCTCTGGCTGAAATCAACAGAGACATTGATTGATTGTATTTCAATCTACAATATATTTATTATTGTTGAGGCATGGCCTGAGGAGAGTATGTTAATGTTCTTCTCCCCCACTTTTTCTCCTCAATTTTGCTCTCATGTTCAGCTGGTTTTGGGGGTTGGTTTTCACTCATGTTTGACAATGCTTTGCTCAGGTTATAAGAAAAGGTAACTATTGATCTGGGAGAATGGCTTTCACTTTGGCCTCTCCCACACACCGGTAGCCTGATTTGCTAACAAAGGCAGTTTCACTGTCTTTGTTACACAGCAGTGCATGTTACAGCTAATTTCTTTCTTAATTTGTTTCATTCTACCGTCTGTATATTTAAACATGTAACTTAATAAACAACTTTGCCTGATTTCAGGCATAGAGATTATCTATCAATGATGATAACAACTTTAAAGGAGTCAGATTAATTACAATGGAGTCAGATAAATAATGAATTTAAACATGCCATCCTTCAACTGCTTATCTGTTTCCGACTATTGGTAGCAGCATAAGCTTCAATCCTTACAAATGTTTTTGAACACATTAGACCTTTGCTAATACACATGGGGTTTGGCCACTTTTTATAAGTATGGTAAAGATAGTTTTAGGTTTGAATTTGCAATATCAATATGTTTATAAAAAATAAAAGCAGTACTTTTTTTCAGTTTGCTGACTAATTTACTAAAGTTACTTTTACAGATTGTACCACTTCCCATTTATATACAGTAGACAATATATATTTTTTTAAATATTAACAGTAATTCAGTTAAATGTACTTTTCTCATTCTAAAGGTTGTAGTATTAGCAAGGGGCAGATTGACTTACTAAAGGTGATATTTTACAAATATTTTCATTCATGGAATGTACAGTACATAAATAATTAAGACCAAATATTTACAATAATTAACCTAAATGTAATTTTCCTCTTAAAAGTTGTAGCTCATTCCCAGAGGCCCAGGCTGAATTACTACAGGTGAGATTTTACCAGATAATGTCCCTTCACATGCATACTGTAGACAAATATTTAAAATATATCTTTACAATAATTCACTTAAAAGCAATTTTGTCATTCTAAAAACTGCAGCACATTCCCAGAGAAAGGTGAGATTTTACCAGGTTATCTTCTGTCATATGCAAACAATGGGAAAATCATTTAGAAAAAATTCAGTAAATATATATTTAATGATTACTTTGATCTTGATTGTGTACACTGTTTATTAATTGTGTGTGGTTGCATTTATTTTTCTTTTCTTCATAAAATTACTTCAAACAGTGCTGGGCATATGGCTTTGATAAAATCAAGTGGAGTTGCATTATTTCACTACAACCAATCAACAAGTTGTCATAAGACACTAAAAGCTGAAGCACTGCCATCACGCAAGTAATAATTTAGGTAAATTTAATTTGGTGTACTAGTATTGTATTTATATCTTTCGGCTTTAGTGTTTTGTGCTTGAAAGATTTAGATGTTTAGCATTTTTCATACAGCACGCAAATTCTGAATAAGCTGAGCAAAGGGATGATCACAGTGCAAGAGTACACTCAGTTAATACACTGAATTAAAGATGTTGGGATCAGATTTTATAATCTTCCTGTAACAAAACAAATCTGGCAATGGAGTTGAGGGTCCTTTTGCAGCGTCTTTGTTTGGAACAGGGGTCGGGAATTTTTTTTACAGCAAAGAGCAATTTATGATTTTTTTGGCAAATGCATTTTTTTAGAGACATTGGATATATACAATTGAAGTCAGAATTATTCGCCCCCTGTTTATTTATTTCCCCTATTTCTGTTTGACGGAGAAATTTCGTTCAACACAAATCTAAACAATAATTTTAATAACTCATCTCTAATAACTGATTTATCTTTGCCATGATGACAGTAAATATTTGACAAGATCTTTTTCAAGACACTTCTATACAGCTAAGAGTGACATTTAAAGGCTTAACACTGTTAATTAGGTTAACTAGGCAGGTTAGGGTAATAAGGCAAGTTATTGTATAATGATGGTTTGTTATGTATGGAAAAAAATATAGCCATTAGAGGCTTATAATTTTGACCTTAAAATGGTTTTTAAAAAATTAAAAACTGCTTTTATTCTAGCCGAAATAAAACAAATAAGACTTTCTACAGAAGAAAAAAAGTATTATCAGACATGCTCTGAAAATTTTCTTGCCCTGTTAAACATAATTTAGGAAATATTTAAAAAAGAAAAAAAAATTCAAAGGGGGGCTATAGTTCTGACTTCAACTGTATATATAGCATCACATGTTGAGGAAGTCCATGTAATAAGAAAGGACAATTTCTAGATTTTTTTTTCTTTGCCATCACCACTCATGAAAATTGTTTAAATTTACGTGCCCAAGGTTGCCATTGAAATGTAAGTTGCATGCCCTTTTATTGGTATCACAATTTAAGTTCAAATCAAATTCACAGCTACGCACACAGGCATTGGTTAAAACATTGTTTTATTCTTATTCTTATTCATTTTGCTGTGAAAAGCAGATGGAGAGCCAAATGTGGCTCCCGAGCCATTGGTTCTCTACCCCTGAGAATCGTCAGGCAGGCAAAGGTCATAAGGTCATATTTTGATCTTCACTTCAATGACTGCTTTACTTCCACTTTAAGCTTAATTGTTTTATGGTAACATACACACTATGGATCATTAATTAAATAGTTAATTCATTATTTGTTAAGAATAAACTCCACATTAATAGATGTTCGTAAAGAGTTTGTAAATACATCTACAAATGCTATATTCTTTTAAAATGCTGTATTCTTTCATTCATTTTCTTGTCGGCTTAGTCCCTTTATTAATCTGGGGTCGCCACAGCAGAATGAACAGCCAACTTATCCAGTGAGTTTGTACGCAGCGGATGCCCTTCCACCCACAACCCATCTCTGGGAAACATCCACATGCACATTCACACACACACTCATCCACTACGGACAATTTAGCCTACCCAATTCACCTGTACCACACGTCTTTGGACTGTGGGGGAAACCGAAGCACCCGGAGTAAACCCACGTGAAGGCAGGGAGAACATGCAAACTCCACACAGAAACGCCAACTGAGCCGTAGTTCGAACCAGGGACCAGCAACCTTGATGTGAGGCGACAGCACTACCTACTGCGCCACTGCCTCGCCCTGCTGTATTTTTATAAGCACAAAAATGTGCTTGATTGTATTTTCATACTTTTTTTTTAATGATTCATTTTTCATTACTAAATAAGTATTGCATTATTTACAAAAGAGTAATAAAAAAGTTTTTTTTAAAGGATATTCAGAACATATATATAATCTCCTATAATAAGAGATTTTCAAAATAATTTACAAAGCATAAATAGTCCTCACTCTAGATTAGGTCACAAAACTGTATGAAATTGAGTTGATAAAACATTTATTAACATTCAAAGTAACTATTATATGTCTGAATCAGACAGATACAACGTTATATTCATTACACAAGTACAAGTACAGGCAACACAATGCAGTTAAGGTCTAACCAGGAGTGCAATAGCAGCAAGTACTGGATTTATGTATGCGGTATAAAGTGCAATTACAGAAGAACGGGTAATTATATTACATTCAGGTTGTATTAACTATGAACAGAGATTTACAATATATGTACAGGTTGCTATTAATAATCAGAAGTATGCAGATAGATATGAACATAATTACAAATGTATATAAACAGTGGATATGTACAACTGAAGATGAATTAGAGCAAAGGATAACACTTTACTACACACTATCATTTATTAAGCACTAGCAAATAATGAATTTATTATCTATCAAGCATTAACTATGTTAATAGGTGTTAGTCAGCAGTTTACAACTGCAAATACAAATGTTCTATTCCTGACTTGTAGGGACATTATTAATGTGTTTAATGATTGTGTTTTCTTACTTGGTTAATTATTATTTTTTCATTACTTAATTAAGTATTGCATCATTTACAAACCAGTTAATTGAGAGAAGTTGCTGGTTTTTAAAGATATTCAGAATGCGTAAGTAAATGATTAATAACCTATTCAAATTAACATTTATATATCTTATTATTCAGGCATAAGTTTATTTGTATGCTTGTAAATGCTTTACAAAGTCAACTTCATAGAGTGTAAATTGTTACCCCACATTCGGTAACACTTTATAATAACTACACACTAAGCATTTGTTAAGCATTTGCAAATAGTGAATTCATTATTTGTTGAGCATTAACTCTACATTAAAAGATGTTAGTAAGCAGTTTATAAAAAACAGCAACAAATGCTGTCTTCTTTACTTACAAGTAGGCCCACACAGAATCTGCGCGCACAGAATTCCACAGATTTCCGCAGAGTTCCACAGATTTTCCGCAGATTTTTGCACTTTATTTCAACAAAGAAATTTTACCGTAATGTTATGGTTTTTGTTTTTCTTTTTTACGATTTTTATTTTATTTATTTTATTTTTTGCAGAGCAAATTACAATTTATTACTTTAATTTTATGTAATTTTAAATGTACTTCAAAAAAACAGGAAAAACACTGTGTAAAATAATACGGCAATTGAAAATTGAAAATCATTAATTATATAGTACATATATAGTACAGATATTGTTTGTATTTTTTACGGACTTTTGAATATAATTTAAAATAACTGACAAAATACTGTATAAATAATACTGTAATTTCTCTGTATAAAAACACAAATGTCAGTAATTTGTCAGTAATTCGACATTTGTCGGCGCAGTGTGGCGCAAGGCGTGGCGCAGTAGTCTTTTGGTAGTTTCAGCTTGGTGCAAGAGTCGTTTTGAGGCGTATACGCTATTTAAATAGCAAATGCATTAGCGCTCATTTGTGCGCCCACAGGCGTTCTGGTCTAAAAAGGAAGGCGTTCTGAGGCGAACCGCTGGCGCGTTGCTATTTTGAGAATCTATAATAGATTTTTCATTAGACCAAAACTTACCCGGTCTAAAATCCGGCGCAGAGTTGCGCCTCGCTTACGCACTGCTTAATACGCACAAGAGAGCAATAGGCAAATATCTTTACATATGAAAAAATGTAAATATTAAGGATATATATATATATATAACAAGAATAGATATAGAATATAAATATAAAAGATTAAAATATTACAAAACATAATATTTTCTAGCCTACATAAATATGAAAAACCACTGCTTTTATGTCTTCTTCATCTCGGGAGGCTTTTTCAGTTCATTCATAACAATTTGCTTTTGTATAATGTTATTATTATTATCAGTATTATTTATTATATCCATATTTATATTTGTTTTATTAAAAACAAGCTTAGATTTGCCCATCTGTCAGGTTTTGGACCATATGAGGCACAGCATCCCAGATAGCAAATTACATCTGGCCCAGATATGGCCCACATCCCCAATTTTCTTCTGGCCCACATACCGCGCGGAATGACGGCGATGACTCAACCTGATTGTGGCTGACATAAGGATCCAAAAGTCAGCCACAACTGAACCAGATCTGGGCCATATCTCAGAAAAAGCATGGTCCATATCTGGGCCAGATGTGGCCCATACATTTTCTCAGATCTGGCCCAGCTGCGGCCCATGCACATTCTCAAATCTGGCCCAGCTGCGGCCCATGCACTTTCTCAGATCTGGCCCAAATGCAGCCCATGCAGTTTCTCAGATCTGGCCCAGATGCGGCCCATGCAATTTCTCAGATCTGGCCCAGATGCGGCCCATGGAATTTCAAAGATCTGGCCCAGATCTGGTTCAGTTGCGGCTGACTTTTGGGTTAGATGTGGCTCACATCTACATTTGGTAGCTATATAAATCACATTAAAAGGAATGCTTAGTTTAAATTGCTTTATTTTAAAAAAATGCTTTAAAGGAAGCATATAAATTGATAAATACAAATATATAATTTATATATAAATTATATAAATAGATGCATACAAAAAAATACAACAACAACAACAGATTGATCAATGCAATACAAATAAATATATGAATTAGATAAATAAATGCATACAGAATTATCACAAATTAAATGCAAATAAATATATATAAAAGTTAAAATTAGGTAAGTGGATATACAGAATAAGAAGAACATACAAACACAAATGTATATACAAATTAGATAGATACAGAATAAACACAGAAAATATATATATATATTTTTTTTATAAAATGCATATTAATTAAATTAACAAATATTTTATAACCATATAGCCAGAACCAATAATTAAAAAGATATATAAAGGGCAATCCAAAAACAAGATCAGAGGCGAGGCAGGGGTCAAATAAACAAATGATAATTACAGAAACAAGATAAACAAGTATGAGTAGACAGAACAAACACAGAAATCGCATATTTAACAAAAACATATTACTTAAATAATTACAACTAAATATTTATTAGCATTTACCCAGAACCAAAAAAAAATTAATTAATTAAATTAAATAAACTGAAAATCCAATAGGGCAGTCCAAGAGTGAGGTCAGGGTCGAGCAAGGGTCAAAGCCAAAAAAAAAAACAGTCCAATGCAAAACATCCTGAAAATCGGAGAAGACAACAATTAAAAGGTGCTGTTTGCAGAGTACATACAGGCACAACTCGATTAAAATTAAGGACTTTTAAGCACTTTTTTAAGCACCTATTTTTATTTTTAAGACTGGCAAGCAACGTATTGAACACCTGAAATGTATTCTCAGCAATACATAAAAACATTCCATAGGAACTACCTATCAATTTATAAAAAAATAAAAATAATAATATTAATATAATATTTCATAGTATTAAACCTATTTTAAATGTGCTTGTGAAATTATTGTTTTTATATGTTTTCGTAGATGGAAAGAGAACTGAAAATTAAATTACATTAAATTAAAGGACTAGAAATACTATTACATTGCTAAAATAAAACAAATTTAGTAAATAATACTAATACAGAGTAAAAGTACATGGTACTATTTTAATTAGTTACATTTGAAAAAAAATCAGATTTTCATTACGGACCTTTTTTTAAATGTAAACTTGTTTGAATGGTTTAACTGTTTAATTACAAGACTACATAAAAAGAAATTTGCACTAACAAAGGAAGTTTATTTTAAGGAAATATATTTTCAAGCTTAGGAAGGTTTTACGTATATGATAAAAAGATGTAAAAAATTTAAAATGTAGCCTTTTATTTACACATTTTACACGGTTTTTCTTGTTTGCTCATTCTGTGTCTGCCTTTACAATCTGGCAAATTTGTTGCTTAAATAACTTTTATAGTACTTGGATTTTTTTTACATAATTATAAACAAATGACTTTACAAAAAATATATATTTTAAAAATAATAAAACAAATTACTTCATTTCATTTGAGGTATTTGAAATATTTCTTTACATTTTCTACATTTTTCAAAGCAGTGTTTTAAGAGCCTTATTGTTTATTTTGATAAATGTAATAACAGATTGCTTTGACCTGTAATGCCTGTACAATTTAGTGACGCTTTAAGACAGACTATGTATAAATCATACAAATACCTCATTCAAAAACGTTTCCAGCATACCAACCCCATGACGTCAGACACAGCAATATTACAAGATGGGGGTGCCTTTGTGCTAAAAGCTTTAGTAAAACGTGCCCTTTTCATCAAAATTGTTACATTAGTCAAGTTTGGTTAATATATTTGTATTAAATCGGAAAGCAATTTACGAAATAATGTAAACTTGATTGACTGCATCACTTCTACTACAAGACACTGGGAATAATTTTTGCTACGCGATGTAGGAAGATCTGACACTCAAAGTTTTCTCCATTAATTCATAGTCTGAAATCTTGGTAATTAGTGAAAGTACCTTTGAACTGACCGCAGATCTTGATGTGGTCTTTCTTGATCTGGTCTTCTCCACTTTCGATCCTTCCCTGGGTTCATCTTTACAAGGAACCTGCTGAATGGAGAAAAAAAAATACTTAGTGATAAAAACCTGGACTATATCATGCTCTAAAATATTTGAAATAAAAGCAGCGTAACAAGACAAGCTAGTGGTGGAGGTTTGCTAGAAAAATCTGTGAGAGAGGATGTTGTGTGTGAGTCAGACTGAGACAGACTGTTGTATGAATGTGTGTTTTTGAGTGTATGAATGTGAGAATGCATTCACAAGAGAGTGTGTTAGTTTGAGGATTTTGCTATTTTAAATATTAGGGTCCAACAGAGTAATTTGTTTAGTTAAGTTGTTTAAAATTATTTTCATTGATTAAATACTTGCCCATATATAGATGTAAAGAATAACTAAAAGAAATAATGTATTAAAATGTCATTATATTTTATATTCAATCTGCAAATCATTTGTTGTGAAATTTAAATGACTTTCATTTAGTATATGAATAAAATAAAATTAGAATAAGAATAAAACAATAGAACTCTATTAAAAAAATACTTCCTATCAAAATAAAGCAGGTGCTTTTACCTTAAGGAACTTTATTAGTATGGTTCCCTGCTTCCAGTTAGTTCAACTTCAGATACCTCCATAATCTGTACTCTGGTGCTTCATTTGGTTCTTGACTTAAGAGTAACTGGTGTCGCATTCCAGGTCCATCACAATCTGAGCTAAAAGGACAATATGACAAAAGACAAGACAAATATGAATACACATAACATACAGAATAAAACATTTAAAGATATAGTTTACTATTCTGCCACCACTTATTCATCCTCTACTTGTTTCAAAGCAATTTGAATCTGTTAAACACTAAAGCAGATATTTTGAAGAATGTTGGAAACCTGTAACTATTGATATACATATGAGGAAAAACTGGGTTTGTGTTCATTCATTTTCTTTTCAGCGTTATCCCTTTATTAATCTGGGGTCACCACAGTGGAATGAACACCCAACTTAACCAGCATATGTTTTACGCAGCAGATACTCTTCCAGCTGCAACACATCACTGGGAAAAACCCATACACTCTCATTTACACACATTCACTATGGACAATTTAGCTTACCCAATTCACCTGTACCGCATGTCTTGTGGGGGAAACCGGAGCACCCGGAGGAAACCCACGCCAACACGGGGAGAACATGCAAACTTCACACAGAAATGCCAACTGACCCAGCCGAGGCTCGAACCAGAAACATTTTTGCTGGGAGGCAACAGAGCTTTATGTTCAACAGAACAAAAAAATATTTTGAAACAAGTGGAGGATAAAAGATGTCATTATTTTTGGGTGAACTATCCCTATAAAATTCAAGTGTCAAGCATTCTTCTTAAAAACGTATGTATCACTACAGGAAAAATAAATCAAGTACCTCTTGTGAACAAGCAAAATCATTATGCCATTGTTTTCAATGGTTTTCCTTTACATTTTTCACTGTGAAATTATAACTTAAACATGCGATCCAAGGTAAATTAATCTACTTTTGACATAAAATAAAAAGTTAAGATAAAAATAAAAGTTACGTCAATAGACTCTGTTTTTCCAGCTCAGCAATACTTTCAAATTTTACATTTTTCAGAAAACAATTCAATAAATTACCTTGTGGAAACATTTAGACTTTCTTTCAAATTAGATTTTTTTTAATAATAGATTTTTTAAATAAGCTATGACCTCACACAGTGATAAAATAGCAGCAATAAATCTTGTAATATTTTAATAATAAATAAAACATAAAATATATTATTTCAGTTCCCAACAACCAGTCTGACATATACAAGTTACAAAATATGTACAATATTGTACCTGGTGTGCTTGATGATGAAGTCAAACAATTAGTAATGCACCGATGTGAGAGTTGTCCTTTCCTTCAGCTTGCATCCTTGCATGATTCCTTTCTTTTCTGTAACAAATTAATACAATACAATCAATTTATAAAAATATTATTTTTACTTGCCACAAAACCATTTGTTTGGACTTGATACATGTACAAGATTAATGGTGCAATTCAGTTTCCAGGCTGTTTTAAAGTAATATAAAACATAAGATATGGATTTTAAGCTTATTTAACACAATTGATTTTATTTTTTATCAAGGTTTAATATTTCATAACACACTTAGCCTTCTTTTTGAGCTAATTAATTTCCTTCATAAGTCATTTAACACATTATGTTTCAACTGTGGATTTTCAAACGTTTTGGCTTTAAATAAATATATAAATAAATATATATAAATATATATATATATATATTATATATATATATACACACACACACACACATAAATATATATATATATATATAATATTATATATATTAGGGTAAGGGTAATTAGGCAAGTTATTTTATAACAATGATTTGTTCTGAAACTGTCGAAAAAATATATAGCTTAAAGGGGTTAATAATTTTGACCTTAAAACACTTTAAAAAAAATTTAAAAACTGCTTTTATTCTAGTCGAAGACTTTCTCCAGAAGAAAAAATATTATCAGACATACTGTGAACATGTCCTTGCTCTGTTATGTAACATTTTCTAGAATATTTACTGTTATTTTTAATATTCAGTAGCTTGTTATATAAAAACTATAACACTTTAAGATATATTTACAATTAACTAATTGCTAATTAACATGCTTATTAATAGCATATTGTCTATCAAATTTGTTGACGCTGTTACAGGTGCACACACACAGAACCAGTATAGACTTTTGGGCCTTTCTATGTTGAGTTTGCATGTTGTTTCTGTTGGTTTCCAGTTTCTTCCATAGTGCAAAAATTTGCAGTATAAGTGAATTTTGGATAAACTAAATTTGCTGTAGTTTGTGATTAAGATAATGTGTGGTGTTTCCCAGCACTGAGGATTGTACCCTCAGGGCTGTGTTGCAGAAGCATTAGTATCTGATTGCGGACTTGCATATGCAAGCTGAGACACACAGTTTGACATGCAATGTCAGAAACAATGCACTCAAATAGAGCTAGTGACATCAAAGTGAGGGGTCGGGTTAGGAGCGGGGTTAGGTGTGCGCATTAAAATTGGTCAGATTTATTTTTATTATTTTTTGTGTTCTGTAAAATAAGTAAATAAAACTTTGTGTTGTTTACAAAGATCAGCTTATTCACGAACACATACATGTTATTCACATTCTACTGCTCAGTTCTCTGACATTTTTTTCTATATAGTTATTTTATTCATAAACAAAACATTTATGTCTACTTAATATTCAAATTAAATAAAAAAGAACAATGTTGTATGTGGCATTTAATCAAACAAAATCATTATAAAAATGTAGAATTGCAAAAAATAACACCAAGAAAAAAGCACTTTAATTCAGCATTATTAGATTATGAATTAATTTGTAAAATTGTTCATTAAAAAGTAGTACTAATAGCAAATTAAATCCACCCAGTAGGTGGCGGTAGGACACTGTCTTAATTCATTCAAATGGAACTGAACAAAACATTAATGGATCAAAACATAATAAATGATGAAACTCACTGCATTTATAGACATTTATAGACATACCAGGTAATATGAAAAAAAAATATGAATTTTACTCATGCTGGAACATTTACATTTAACAGATAATATAAATTTATATTCATAGCAGCCTTAAAGTAAAAATAAATCCATTATTGAGGAAATAAACTGAATTAATATGTGATAAGGTTACAAACATATACTTTCCCGCATGAGCAATAGCTTATTCCTATTCTTAATAACCTAAAGAATCATTTTCAATCTCAGAAAGTCTTATTTAGAACATGCAATGTTATTATTTTCAGAGAAGGTGTAGCGCTCTCACTGCCTGATGAGGGACAATAATGTTAATAAAACACAGGAAACACAGAACTGCTGCTGCTTCACATCAGAGTCTGTGTATTGTTTGAGAGAAAAGCCCCTCCCACTCATTAGGTATGCAGTCCACAGGCAGAAGTAGCCAATCGGAAAAATGTAAATCCTTGCATCACATTACATTAATTTACAATATTTATTTTCTATTTTCTACTTCATAAAACGAAAGTGTACAGACTTAGAAAGACAAATTAACTTTGATTTTCAATTTCTTATAATTTGTAACCACTTCAAAGGCTCCCGTTAATTTAAAGTTAAACCGGAACTAAAAATACACAACTCGCACTACACCCGATGTGTCACACACGGGCCACATCTGGCCCACATACAGCAGGCCACAACTCACACTAGACCCGCTGTGTCACACACGGGCCACATCTGGGCCACATATGGCAGGCCACAACTCACACTACACCCGGTGTGTCACACACGGGCCACATCTGGCCCACATATGGCAGGCCACAACTCAAACTACACCCGGTGTGTCACACACGGGCCATATCTGGCCCACATATGGTAGGCCAGAACTCACACTACACCCGGGGTGTCACAGACGGGCCACATCTGGCCCACATACGGCAGGCCAGAACTCACACTACACCCGGGGTGTCACAGACGGGCCACATCTGGCCCACATACGGCAGGCTAGAACTCACACTACACCCAGGGTGACACATATGGGCCACATCTGGCCCACATACAGCAGGCCACAACTCACACTACACCCGGGGAGTCACACACGGGCCACATCTGGCCCACATACAGCAGGCCAGAACTCACATTACACCTGGGGTGTCACACACGGGCCACATCTGGCCCACATACAGCAGGCCAGAACTCACACTACACCCGGGGTGTCACACACGGGCCACATCTGGCCCACATACGGCAGGCCACAACTCACACTACACCCGGGGTGTCACACACGGGCCATATCTGGCCCACATACGGCAGGCCACAACTCACACTACACCTGGGGTGTCACACACGGGCCACATCTGGCCCACATACAGCAGGCCACAACTCACACTACACCTGGTGTGACACATACGGGCCACATCTGGCCCATATGTCTCCTGCCATTGCCAGAAGTGAGCCATATGTGCCTTAGTTGGCCCAGATGTGGCCCAGAACTGTATGCTATCTGGGATGTGTTTTAGGATATAACTATTATTATTCATTTATTCGTTGCTGTAAATTAGAACTGAATTTAGAAATAGTTTTGAAACGAATATTTGCGCTTAACAAACAAAGGTATTTATTTATAGACTAATTGATGTCTGTGCGTAAAGGTTTCCCTATCCAAGAGCGAAAGTGAAAGTAGATCCATTATCTCTCATTCTCACGCAGTAGATGCTCTGTTTAACAGTTTTCTGTTAAAAAAACTGTTAACTGTGAACTGTTTGCTTGTGAAATGCTCAGTTTTTCCACTTAGACTTACTTTGCGTCCTGTAAATAGCGAATGCGCTCTTGGCGCGACGCAGCTGACTCTTAAAGGGAATGGGAGATGAGATTCTAATTGGTTTATTCTCAAAACACACCTATAACTCATTAAGAAAATAAACTCAACCCTTTTAGAACATGCGCCGCAGCGCAAGGCAGATTTCCCGTCCTTAAATTTGCAAAAACGCGTCCTGACACGCCCTGAAAGCGTTTGCGCCCTGCATTTTGCGCTCTGCGCATGGACTGTCAAAATAGAGCCCATTGATCCAGATATTTACATTTTCGCGGCTGTGACACCCTGTCATCGGGACTGAGTGATTGACAGCTGATTTGAACCAATGGATTTGCGTTCTGTTCTAGCGCAGTTCTGTTCTGGCGCAGTAGTGTTTTATTGTTCACTTTAAACATATATATCTGAACACAAATGTATGAGGTGCCGTATAGGTGTGGGAAACCAGTTTATTATGTTAACCAATCATATTGTACCTGTTTGGTGTAACCCCACCCCGTGGGGGTCAAAGGGGTTAACCCGGAAAGTGAATGACAGAGTTTATAGGAAGTGCGTTGTACATGCGTGTCTGTTTAATAAAAAGTAATCTGTGAAACGAATGAAGAGTTTACTCTCATGACATGGTGTCAGAATCGTACTTTATACCCACGAGCAAGCTCGCCCAGTTTTGGATCTGACAATGTCCAAGTTCAACCCACCAGAAGCCTTTGATTTCGCGCAGCCTGCAACCTGGCCCGCATGGATCCAGCGGTTCTCCCGGTTCCGCATCGCGACGAAACTGAACAAGGAAGACGGTGAAGTACAAGTTAACTCTCTGTTGTATGCAATGGGCAGGGATGCTGAAACGATATTCGGATCGTTCACGTTTGCCGAAGCTTCAGACGCAAATAATTACGAGACTGTAGTCGGCAAATTTGATGAACCTTTTGTGCCCAGGAGGAATGTTATTCATGAGAGAGCCTGTTTTCATCAGCGTACACAGAGATCGGGAGAGACTGTTGAAGCTTTTGTCAGGTGTCTTTATGAACTGGCTGAATACTGCGAGTTTGGCGCGAGCAAAGTTGAACAAATACGGGACAGAGTTGTCATAGGGATTGCAGATCGTGACGTTTCTCAGAAGTTACAAATGGAACCCGAACTAACATTGGATAAAGCGGTCCAGATCGCCCGGCAGTCGGAGCTTATTAAGACGCAAAATGCGAGCGGTGGAACAGCCGCTGATGTGAGCGGCGTACAGCACGGACATTACAAAAGTTCAAAGCGGTTTTCGGGGCCACCGAAAAAGGAAAAAGGTGGAGAGAGAAAACAGATTGTGGACTGCACACGCTGTAATCACACACACAATGAGAATAATTGCCCTGCACGAAACAAGAGGTGTAGAAGATGCAATAAGCTGGGACATTTTGCAATTGCATGTAAAACTAAAAATGTCAAAGAGCTTGTAGTGTGTGATAGTGAAACTGGCGATTCATTTTTCCTGGGCTCTGTAATGAATGAGTCAGCTGCAGAAGACAGGTGGTGTGTTACTTTGCCTATTCAAGGCAGGTCGGTCCAATTCAAAATTGATACCGGAGCCGACATCAGCATCATGTCACGCTCAGTGTTTGAAAGCTTACAAGAGCGCCCCCCGCTGGTTAAAACAAGTATAAATGTGAGAAGCCCAGGAGGAAAAGTGAATTGCATGGGGAAATTTCTAGCAAACACTGAAAGAAAAGGGAAAAATTTTGAATTTTGGGTTTTTGTAATTGATGGGCCA